CAGGCGGGCAGGAAGTGGCCCCGTGCAAAAGCGGGAAGTGGCTGTTGTCAAACAGGAAGGGGGGGCTGGGCCGTGGGGCGGGGGGTGGGGACCAGCCTGGTAGAAAGGTGGGCGGGAAGGTCAGCCCGGGAAGGTCCAGGCCGTCCCCTAGGAGTGGCGAGGTCAGGGGTCACGGGAAGGAGGTGTGTCTGGAGGAAAGAGGCTGCTTTTGCGACAGGAGCAGCTGGTGGGTGGCCACCTTGGGCAGCTGAGCCCGGGCCTGGACCTCCCGCCGGGGACCGGGGCGGTGCAGGGCCTGGTCCCTCTGGAGGTCGGGGATGCTGTGTTTGGCCTGGACGGCCTTCGGCATCGGGAAAGATGCTCTCCCCGCCAGACTGGTTCCTGAATCCTCCTGCTGCCGGGGAGGGGGGGCCCTGCTTTTCCCCAGACGAGGACCCGCCCTGGAGGGGTTGCAGGACAGAGTGCGTGTGGAGGGGGGACAGGAGACGGGAGCGGGAGAGGCCGGGGCGCTGGCGGAGTGTGTGGCGGGAGGAGGCGGGGAGAGTGTGGTCGGCAGAAACCGCGGCTCGTTGAGCAGCGCTGGATGGCAGGGCGCCACGGCCGGCCGGGCTGGAGCTGCGGAAGAGGAGGGCTCCGCGCTCTGAAGGGCCCTGATGCTAACCCTCACCTGCAGACTGCGAACCGAGCGGGGAGGAGCGCCCTCCCCCGGGACGGCTGATGGAGCCGGCTGAGGGCTCCGTGGTTGCGGTGCCTGGTGCCTGTCCGGCTCAGGCAGAGGGACTCTCTCGGTGCCCCTGGTAACAGCCAGGGCCACAGCGCCCCGCCTGAGAGGCCTCCCTGTGCTGTCACCGGGCCCTGGGGAAGGAGGCTCTGTGTGTGCCCAGCACCGTGCTGAGCACTCGCTCAATTACCTCGTTTAACTCACCTCTGTTTTATTTTACTTTTTACTTTTGTAATATATTCTTACTGATTTCAGAAAGGAAGGGAGAGGGAGAGAGATAGAAACATCAATGATGAGAGAGAATCATTGACCAGCTGCTTCCTGCACATCCTGCACTGGGGATCGAGCCTGCAACCTGGGCATGTGCCCTGACCCGGAATCAAACCATGACCTGGTTCCTAGGTCGATGCTCAACCACAGCAACACCGGCCGGGCATCACCTCCGTTTTATTATTATTATTATTATATTATTATTATTTTTATATATATTTTATTGGTTTTACACAGAGAGGAATTGAGAGGGACAGAGAGTTAGAAACGTCGATGAGAGAGATACATCGACCAGCTGCCTCCTGCACACCCCCTACCAGGGATGTGCCCGCAACCAAGGTACATGCCCTTGCCCGGAATCGAACCCGGGACCTTTCAGTCCGCAGGCCGACGCTCTATCCACTGAGCCAAACCGGTCCCGGCTTATTATTATTATTTTTGTTGTTATTGTTTTTAGTCCTCGCCTGAGGATATTTTTTCATTGATTTTTTTTTTTAGAGAGTGGAAGGGAGGGGGAGAGACACACAGAGAGAAATACCGACGTGAGAGAGACACATCGATTGGTTGCCTCTAGGGCCGGGATGGAGCCTGCAACCGAGGTGTGTGCCCTTGGTCAGAATCAAACCCTTCACTCCTCAGGCAGATGCTCTATCCATTGAGCCACACCGGCCAGGGCCATCACCTCCATGTTAGAATTGAGACCACACTTCCCAAACGAACGTGCCTGGCTCGCCTCCTTCGGTCCTAGTCAGACACCGCCTCCTTGCTGAGGCTTCCCGCCCCCCCCCCCACCCTCCTCTCCCCTCTCCCCTCTCCCCTCCCCTCCCCTCTCCCCTCCCCTTCCCTCTCCCCTCTTTTATTTTTCTACATAAGCACGTGCCACGCCCTCCGCTTCTTCTTGTCTGTCCCTCCCTCCAACCCAGCCCCACTAGAGTATCAGCTCCGTGATGGAGGGCAGGGATTATTTTTTGTCTGTTTTGTTCACGGCCGTAACCCCAGCATGGAGAACGGGTCCTGTCCCAGAGCAGGCCGCAGTGCACATTTTTTTGAATGAATGAATGAACGAATGAATGAATGAAGAACGGGGCTCAGGTGGGTTTAAGAACGCGCCTGACGTGGCACCGCGGGGACTCGATTGGGGGCCGCTGGACTCCAAACCTGATGTGTGGATGGCGGGATTCCATGGCCAAGGATCCGAGCAGCAAGACGGAGGCTCAGCCCGGGGCTGAGGGGAGACGCAGGCTTCCCCCGGGACAGGCCTGGCTCCTCAGCCTGGGGGTCCGGCTAAGGGGCTGTGCGGCGGGGCCCCCGGGCCCTGGGCAGCACCTTCGAGGAGCGGGAGCCTGGTCTGCTCCCTGCACGGCCCACTCTGAGTCAGGAGAACGCCGGGGCGCCCGTATTTTCAGTGCCGCCGCTGTGGGGGGACTGTAACCATTAGCCGGCGAGAGACTTAAGGGAGGAGATGAACGTTAATCTGCGGGCCTCCCCTCGGCTGCCACCTCCGCAGAGTGAGATGCTGTCTGCACCTGCCCCGGCAGCCAAGCCCGAGGGCCGGGGGCGGAGGACGGTCAGGTGCGCGGTCAGAGAGAGCCGGTAGGTCTGCAGCTTGGGGGCCGGCCAGCGTGGGACCTCCCGCCCCAGGTGCGGGTGCAGGAGGAGGGCGGGTTCGCTCGGTCACTCCCCCAGCCAGATCTGGAGAAGCCAGCCCCCTCTGCACCGGGCAGGGCTATCGCCGGATTCCTTGACGCCTCACCTTCCGAGAGTCCCCAGGACGGAGGGCCCGGGGCGATGGGGAGCGGGGGTTACCTGGGGCCCTCCTGGCCACGGCCGGGCCAGTGTCCGTGCCGCACCGAGGCCGGGAAGGAAGGCCTGACCCAGATCCCTGGGCAGCTGGACGGATTAGCTGGGCCGCAGGAACTAATCTCTGCCCGGCCCTGCCTCCTTCCACAAAGCAGGGCCGTCGTGACAGGGAACATTTCGCACAAAGCCGGGGGTGGCTGGTGAGACAATAAATGTGAATTCCTTCCCGTCTGCAATCCCCACCTCGTCTCAGAATGCGTGGTCCCGTGGGCTGGAGGGCCTTCGGCAGGTGATTTGCCTCCTCTGGGCCTCAGTGTCGGCGCGGGCACCCGCCAGTGGGAGGGTGTGGGAGTCCCGGGGGGCCTCACAGAGGCTCTTGCTGTTTAGGGGAGGCGGGTGGGCAGATCCCCTGGCAAGGGAGGCAGCAATGGCTTGACAAGTGTGACGGGGAGGCATCTGCCTGGGCTGGAGATGTTGGGGTGACCTGGACTGTGCTCCCCAAAGCCTGGAGCTGTTATTGGATGCTCTCACTTCTCTTTACCCTGTCGGCATGGCATAGCGACGGAGAAAGGGGGCTCAGGCTCTCCGCCCGTGTGACCGTGGGCCGTCACTTTAACTGTCTAAGCTTCGGTTTCCTCGTTTGTAGTGTAATGGGGTTAATCAGATCCCCTACCGCCCAGGATTTCTGTAAGGATAAGATAAAATAATCCATGCCTGTGCCTGGCATACAGTAAATGCTTAGTAAGCAATAGTTATTACAGCCGTAGTGGACGTTATTGATAAAACACTTACTAAGCCCCTTGTTACATACGGTAGGAACTCTGGAAAACACCCCTCAGAAAGGTCCTACCCCTTGCCCTAGCTGGATAGCTCAGTTGGTTAGAGTGTCATCCTGATACACCAAGGTTGTGGGTTCAATCCCCAGTCAGGGTACAGATAAGAAGCAACCAATGAATGCATAGATAAGCAGAACAGGTACTAAATGTTTCTCTTTTCTCGATCTCTCTCTAAAATCAATCAATTAATCAAAAGAGCGTGGCTGGTGTGCTCAGTGGGTTAAATGTCATCCCGTGGACCAAGAGGTCCTTGGTTCGATTCCTGATCAGGACACATGCCGGGTTGCAGGTTTGATCCCCAATAGGGGTTGTGCAGGAGGCAGCTGATTGATCTATCTCTCCCTCTCTCTTCCTCTCTGAAATCAATAAAAATATATTTTTTTAAAAAGATGTATCTGCCAGCTCTGGCCAGTGTGGCTCGGTTGGAGCATCGTTCCATGCATGGAAAGGTTGGGGTTTGATTCCTGGTCAGGGCACATGCCTGAGTTGTAAGTTGGATCCCTCGTTGGGGCACGTGCGGGAGGCCATTGATTAATGTTTCTCTCTCACATTGATGTTTCTCTCTCTCTTTCTCTCTCCCTTCTTCCCCTCTCTTTGTAAAAAAATCAATAAAAACATACCCTTGGGTGAAGATTAAAAATAAAAAAGATGTATCTGCCTGGTGTAGAAGTGAGCGCAGGATAAATGTTGCCTTTTACTTTTTCAAATCGCCATCGCCTTTGCTGCCAGCACCATTATGTTTTCGGGTTGCTGTGAAGACTAACGTAGAAACTACATGCAGCCCCTAGCACAGTGCCTGCTCACATAGGAGGTGCTCAGTAAAACTTAGCTATTCGTAGTATTTCTAACAAGAAAGAGGTTTTGGCCTTAACCGGTTTGGCTCAGTGGATAGAGCGTCGGCTTGGGGACTGAAGGGTCCCGGGTTCGATTCCGGTCAAGGGCATGTAGCTTGGTTGCGGGCACATCCCCAGTGGGGGGGTGTGCAGGAGGCAGCTGATGGATGATTTTCTCTCATCGATGTTTCTAACTCTATCCCTTTCCCTTCCTCTCTGTAAAAAGTCAATAAAATATATATATATAAAGAAAGAGGTGTTGGACACCCTGGCCCAGGGAGAGCCCTGCAGTAGCGGGAAGAGGACCGGGCTCCGTGGAAGACCTGGGTTCAAATCCCTCCCTAAGCCATTCCCTCGCCTGGAGAAGTGGTCGGTCATAATGCCTGTCCCAGGATGGCTGTGACTTGCTGCGCGGATTCAGCAAATTGTCCAAGTGCACAATTGTCCAAGGGGCCCAAGAGCTGAACGAGTGTGAATGGCCAGGTGGCCGCAAATAGGAAGTGTGGCTGATGGCTTTTGGTTTTTCTCCTCTGCTTTTAGATCACCAGAAGCTAGAACGTGAGGCCCGGATATGCCGACTTCTGAAACATCCAAACATCGGTAAGTGCACGTCTGAACGAGTGCTGTATTCTGGGGCGTTCCGGTGCGGGGGCTGGAGAGCAGAGGCTCGCCGCTGCTTTTTTGTATGTGGAACTACCTCTGCCCCTGGGCCTTCGCCTGCTGCCTTGCCTCTCCCACACGGGGAAGCAGCTGTGTCTGGCTCAGAGCTCGGGGGGCATTCTCGTGTTGAGACCTGGGTGTCTTCGTGCCTGCGGTGCCACCTCAGGGCTGGGGTGTGCGGGATCGGAACAGGTCACACGCTCCCTTTCTCCCCTCCTCTTCCTCCTCCTCCTGTCTTTGGGCTGAGGCCCGGGCTGCTCAGTGTGTGAGGTTCTGGGCTGGTGTCCCTCCCCGGGGCCCTCCATGGTCCGGATTTTGTTTCTGGACTCTTTTGAAAGAGTGTTGTCCCCGTTGCAGTGCCGTGCACACTCTGGGGGTTTCCATGGTGCCCCTGTTTGTGTTCTCGGAGCCGGGGAAGCAGGCTGCCCGCCCGCCTGGCTTGTCTGGAGGAAAGGGTGGCAGGAGCCACGTGGACGGGGAAGGAGAGGAGCGAGGAGGCTTTTTCCCTGCTCCCACCCCGACGTGGGGGACAAGAGCACATTGTTGGCTGTTCGGAAAGCCTGAGGAGGTTTGCCTGCCGCGGCCCACTCCGCTCAGTTCCACATTGTTCGGCTGAAAACTCTGCCAAGCGCGCTGGCCCCGATGTGGCGGAGGACAGGAGCCGGGCTGGCTGCGGCGTCGGAGCAGGGGCCCCGGGCTCGGCTCGAGGCGGCGCAGGGAGCATCTCCTAGCTTCGCCCTGAGTCATCACACGCAAAACACGTGTCCCGCGCCCCGCAGGCACAGCCTAAATATTGGGGCTCCCACAGCGCCCGGAGGCCACCCTGCCGCTGCCTCTGCCCCCGCTCCCCAGGCCCGGGTCAGAGCGCTTCACGCGGGCGGGCGGCTGCAGGAGAGCCGAGGCCGTGCTCCAGCCGAGGGGAGAGGAGGACCGAGGTAACCGGAACCCGGCCCTGCAGGGCTTTATAGATCACAATCAGCAGCTAGGGTTACAGCGGAGCAGATTGGCACAGCCAGGCCTCCCTCTGCCCGGCGCAGGGCACGCCCGGAGCCAGCACCTCTCGGCCGGCCGGCCCGGGCTCCGGGTGACCTCAGAGCTGGGCTCACACCTGGAGACGCACGGGGGCCCGGGCGGCCGGGCACCGGAGAGACACACCCAGGACAGCAGGCACAGATCCAGGCGCGTGTTGTTTTGGCTGGCTCAGTGGTGTGTGTGTGTGTATATATATATATATATATATATATGTATATATTTAGCTTTTTTATTTTTTTTACTTTTATTTTTTAAAGAATTTTTGTGAGTTTATTTGAGCCAAACTGTCAACATATGCCGGGAAGCAGAATGGATTGAGATAATGCTCCAGAGAATGGAGGGTTACATTTGTATTTATACATTGCAATCAAAGGAGGGACATAGGTGGGTGACATGAAATTCATTGGTGATGGAGGAAGGAGGCGGGAGAAAGCAAAGCGGTGGGAAACCCCTGGGATCAGATAAAAAGTAAAAGGATGGACTCGTACTCAGGTGAGTGCAGGAACAATTAACATGATAGCGAAGGAATTTGAGGCATCTGTCTTGGCGCCCACCACATTTGGTTGTGCCCCAGGGACTTAAAAATATATATATTTTTTATTATTTGCCAGTCGGTATTTAAAAATGAGATTTTGCATTTTGAAAGGACTCTGTTTCCTAGTCTTTCGAATCAGGAGGCTGGGTTCTGCTGAGCCCTCGTCTGTGTGTGCTCAGAGTCAGCCGGGCCGGGCTGGGTGGCCCCCCAGCCCATTGGCCTCTGGCCTTGCGCTCCCGTCTCCTCCCGTGGCGCCCTCTGTGGTGCCTGACAGCGTTGTGAGTTTGTGACTTCTGCCCTGGACGCTCCAGAACAGGAAGAAAAAGCCAGCGGGTAACAAAAGCCAGGCACGAGCACAGAGGCACGTCGGTGTTCTCACTCCGGGCCTCGGGGTCTGTGGCAGCAGCTTCCTCTCCTGATGCTCCCGGTGACAAGCTGCCCCCAGGAGGAAGGAGAACCAGGGGAGGGGAGAGGAGGCAGGAGGCAGAGCCAGTTCTGCAGCACCCGCAGCGCGGGCGTGGCTGGCCATGTGGCGGGGCAGGGCGAAGACGCCGGGGAACAGCCGGGGAGGAATCTCACCCAGCCGGTGTGGCTCCGTGCTGGAGCATCGCCCTGTGACCCAGGAGGTCACAGTTCGATCCCCGGTCAGGGCTCAGGCCCCGGTTGCAGGCTCAGTCCCCAGTGTGGGGCGTGCAGGAAGCTATGGATCCGTGATTCTCTCTCATCATTGATGTTTCTATCTCTCGCTCCCTCTCCCTTCCTCTCTGAAATAAATTTTAAAAAGTGGGATTCTAGCCGAAACCGGTTTGGCTCAGTGGATAGAGCGTCGGCCTGCGGACCGAAGGGTCCCAGGTTCGATTCCAGTCAAGGGCATGTACATTGGTTGCGGGCACATCCCCGATGGGGGGTGTGCAGGAGGCAGCTGGTCAATGTATCTCTCATTGATGTTTCTAGCTCTCTATCCCTTCCTCTCTGTGAAAAATCAATAAAATAAAATGTGTTTTCTTTAAAAGTTTCATCCTTAAAACAATTGTATGAAGAATCTACATTTTTTTAAAAAATGGGATTCTATTTGAAAAAAAAGCTTCTAACCTTTAAAAAAAAAATGTATTCCTAGAAATTAGATGTATACCTTCTGACCTTTTCGACTATTATCGGTGTGATAGCCCGTGCTTTGTACACCTGCCCCCACGTCAGCGTTAAGGCAGATGGAGAGACCGGCCATCCGGCCATCTGCTCAGTGGGGAAGCAGCGGGACCTGGGAAAGGCCGGGCAGGCCGCACTCGCTGGGTTAGCATCTGACGGCCTAGAACTTGCATTTCCTCTGATGGCCTAGAACTTGCATTTGGTTAGCATCTGATTGCCTCATGCTTGCATTTCTCGCCTGCTCCCAGGTCCTGCTGGGGTCAAGGGCAGGGGGGAGACAGGGTGAGCCAGGACGGTGTCCTGGGAGAGCTGGCTGGCCAGGCTGCCCGGCTTCCGGTGGGAACCAGGCCTCCTGGCGATGTGGCAGACAGAGCGGTGGGCCCAGGAGGCCGGGGTTGCCATGGATTCTGGCCTGGCTTGTGGCAGGAGAGGAGGCAGTGCTGTCCCCCCTCATTCACGATTCCCCTCGTCTCTCCACCGCTCCATCCTGCAGCGCGGTGGCCCCTTTGGCTCCAGCCGCGTTAACCCCGTCCCGCAGGGGTACCCGCGGGCCCACCGAGGGGCCTGCGGGACTGAGGGCGCTGGGAGCACAGAGCTCAGGGTCAGACTCAGAAGGGGGCTTGGTGCAGGGCGCGAGGGCTCCCCAGCTTCGTCTGTTCTGTCCCAGGAGTGTTCCGCGTCCTGGAGGAGTGAGCCCTCGTGTAGGCTGTGGACTCTGGGCCATGACAGCGTGCCTTTGTCGGTTCCTCAGTTATCACGGCTGTGCCCCTCTGGTGGGGGAGCTGGAGAGTGGGGGAGGCTGTGCAGATGGCGGGACAGAGGGTATGTGGGAGCCCCGTGTACGGTCTGCTCAGTTTTGCTGAGAACCCAAATCGCTCTGGAAAACACTCTGCTAATGGGTGGTTTAAAAAAAAAAAAAAAAAAAGCCTATTGGTGATGCACTGTCCTGCAGAGCCGGACCAGCCCCGGAGAGCGGCCAGGGGCGGGGAGTGGAGAGGAGGGGACGGCGGGAGTGCGAACCGTCCAGGTTGAGTGGCGGCTGTCCCGCCTGTGATCTGCCCGCTCCCTGCTCTGGCTCCCTCTGATGAAAAGACCGTCCTGCTGCTCCACGCTGAGCAGCCCAGAGGCTTCCCTCCCCGGCCCGCCCTGTGGTTCAGAGCAGCCCTGCTCTCACCGCTTCGCGCTCACTCGCAGATCTCCCAGGGATCGTGGTAAAATTCAGATCGGGTTCAGCGGGGGGGAGAGGGGGGGCGGCGGGGTGGACCTGAGCTCCCTGGTCCCCAGGTGATGCTCACGGTGCTGGTCTGCGGCCCGTCGCCATGGAGACGCAGAGGTCTGTGGCTTTGGCGCGGAGGCCAGGTTTGAATGGGGGGGTTTGCTGCTTGTTGGCTGTGATTTTTTTCCCCCCTGGCACATTGTGTCATTGGTGCCTCCGTCGTGTCCTTGGTGCCTCTGTGGGCAGTTGTGAGGGCTCAGCGAGCAGAGGAGGCCTGGGGGATCAGTGGAGACGCAAACAGATGCTAACTGCCAGGAGTGAGCGCTCCCAGACGCCCAGCCCCAGCTCGGTTCGCAAGGTATTTCAGCCCGGCGGCTGCCTTGGGCTCCGGGCCCGCTCAGCTACCAGTAAGTGCAGCAAAAATAGCAGCAGAGAAAACGAAGGAAACGTTGAATCGTGACTGAACAGCCCTAAATCCCTGCCCACCACCCCCGGGGGCCTCCTCAGGCCCCCCGGAGCCCCCAGCCACAGGACCGCCTTCCTGCTGAGTGTTTGTGCTGTGGGCTCGAACATGACACTTTTCCAGAACTTTTTGACCACAGTTTGTTAGTTAAAATATGGCATGTTGTTGGGTGGGTTTTTTTGTGTGTGTGTGTTTTTTTTTTTTTTTTTTTTTTTTTTTTTGTTAATTCTCACCTGAGAATATTATTTCCGTTGATTTTTAGATTGAGTAGAGGAGGGGCTGGGAGGAAGGGAGGGAAACGTGGATGCGAAAGAGATGTAACTAATGATTGCCTCCCACACTCAGCCCCAAGGCGGGCAGGGATCCGGACTGAACATACAGCCCAGGCACGTGCCCTTGACCGGGGACCAAATCTGGGACCCTTTGGTGTGTGGGGGGGGGGGCGACCCTAACCACTGAGCACACAGGCCAGGGCAGGTGGGTGGTTTTTAAAGAACTGGAAATAGCCGCAGGATTTGGGTGGTGGCTGTGTCGGTCCTTGAAGGTAGGAAGCATACCCAGCGAAAGGACCGGACGGTTTGGGCCTGTCCCTCCGCCGCCACTGGCGAAGAGCAGTAATTAGGCTTATCGCCGCCCGTCACGGACACTCCACTCCTTCCCCCGCTTCCCGTCTGCAGGCGCGTCTGCCCTCCGTGGCCTTCCTGCCCTCCTGTCACTGTGGATGGGCTGGGCGACGGGCTGTCTTACTGCACGCACCCATCGCCGCCCCACGTCCGCCCCACGGCCTTCCGCGCCCACCTGCTCAGTCCATGCCTTTTTTTTTTTTTTAATATTTTTTATTAATTTTTTTACAGAGAGGAAGGGAGAGAGATAGTTAGAAACATCGATGAGAGAGAGACATCGATCAACTGCCTCCTGCACACCCCCTACTCGGGATGTGCCCGCAACCAAGGTACATATATGCCCTTGACCGGAATCGAACCCGGGACCTTTCAGTCCGCAGGCCGACGCTCTCTCCACTGAGCCACACGGTGTCAGCTCAGTTCCGTTCTGGTGTAAGTGCTGGTTGGAAGGCTCCCTGGAAGCTCTGGGGGCCGACCAGGCCTCCTGTGCTCACCGCGGGCCCGGGCGCCTGCCTCAGGGAAGGTGCGAGTGGACGTGCGGAGTGAGTCCGAGTGGCCGGGCCGGTGGGGGCGGGCGGAGCGCCGGTGCCTACAGGATGGAGGGAAGGGACCCTCTCAGGGACCTGATGCCAGTCTGTGTTGGCTTCGCGTCCCAGCGCTGCCCCGTGGTGCGACCCCGAGGGGTCTCTTTGGAGTCTCTCCGGTTAGAGGGGGTGCGGGGCAGTGCCCGCCCCCAGAGTCAGTGCGAGTTGGTAAAACCCGCGTGTGTAGCGCTTGGCACGGGGCCCAGGCCCGTGGTCGGCAAACTCATCAGTCAGCAGAGCCAAATGTCAACAGGACGACGATTGACGTTTCTTTGGAGAGCCAGCTTTTTTAAACGTAACCTTCTAACGTCACTTCTTCAACATAGACTCGCCCGGGCCGGGGTGTTTTGTGGAAGAGCCACACTCAAGGGGCCAAAGAGCCGCGTGTGGCTCGCGAGCTGCCGTTTGTCAACCCCGGGGCTGGGACGCAGAAACAGCTCACGTGCTCGCTATTCAGACTCTGCCAGGGAAGCGCCGAGGGAGGCGCAGTCAGGTGTCTCCCCTTGTTCTCGTTCCCCTGTAAGCTTTCTTTTCCAACGGGACCCAGGCGCCAGAAGCCATCGCCGTCGTGTCAGATAGGGCCTTCCACGCCTGCCCTCTGTCTCGGGGGAGCCTTGCTGGCACCCGCCCCCCCCCTTCTCTGGGCACCCGCCCCGGCCCCTTCTCTGGGCCGGTGGCCTGGGAGGGGAGCCTTCCTGCTGCTCCTGACTCTCTGCCCGGCTCCCTCCCACCTGGGCTCCGTGTGTGGCTCCTGGGGAAGGGCAAGTGCCAGTGCCTCCTGTTTGGGCATAGGCCTGGGTGCCTGCCTGGTTCGCAGCCCTGCTGTGCTGGGTGGGGGCGAGGGTTCGGGCAGGACTTTCCCGGTGGGCGGGCGGCGTGGTGGTTAGCCCAGAGCCTGCCGTCCTGTGAGCTTGCCGTCCTGCTGCTGTTAGTCACCTCCCTAACAAAGCTGGCTTCTGGCTTCTGGGACAGCTGATTTCCAGGGGGTTGTTTGTATTACACACTTTAATGCTTTTTAGTAGCAAATTCCTAATTAAATGGAAAGTCCTTTTGGAAGCGAGGGAGCGGCAGCGGCCGCAGGACCCAGCGTGCCACTGGCAGCCGGAGGAATGGGCGAGGAGGGGGCGGCGTGCGAGCCCGGGCCCGGGCGGTCTGCAGCTGGAGAAGGGGCTCCTGGTGCCCCGGAGAGGAGGGAGGGAGCGGGCTGAGGGCAGTGATGTTGGGAGCACCCTACCGTGGGTTCCATTGGTGAACCTCAGAAACACTGCGTTTGGGGTGGAATTTGGGGCTGAGGAACCGAGCCGATCAAATAAGGGAAGCTGTGAGAAGTGTAAACAGGCCCCAGGCCCTGGCTCAGGCCTGAGGCTCCCGTGTCTGGGTGGGGAGGGGGGGGACCGTGGCCTCTGGATGGCTCGGTGCCTGGGTGTTAGGCTCTGGCTGGTCCCGCTGTGGAGGGAGGGGGAGCCGCTGGGACCCCGGAGAGGGAGCTGTCCTGTGGGGGAGAGAAGAGGTGGGTTTTCCGTATCCGAGGGCTCGGCCGGTTGGCTCGGGTTCGGGCCGTCCTGAAGCGCTCGGGGAGGTGCCCCTGCACGGCCCAGGGTGGGCGCGGAGGCCACACAGAGGCCGCTCCGGGGACAGGGTTTCCTTCCCACCACGCGGGCTCAGGGAAGGGCAGGGGCAGGAACGGCCGGCCGGCCCGGCAGCCGACGCAGGGAGCTGTGTCTGCATCGGAGCGATGCTCAGAGCTTGGCACCGAACCCGGAGCTGGCTCTGTGGGCAGAAGCCGGAGAGAACTCGGGCGTCAGGTTGGTTCTCTGCCCGAGGGCTCCGGGCGGGCGGGGAGGGCTCCCGCTCGCCAGCCTTCCCCCGCGGCGGCTGGGCTGCCGTCGCCGGCTCCGCGCAGTGGCCTCCTGGACCGCCCGTGCTGCTGAGGGACACCCGTGACGGGCCTCCCTCCCGGCTCCACTGTTTGGTGGCCCGGGTGTGCGGGCCCCGCCACGTGTCTTACGGGAAACGGGGGTGTAGTCCCGTCTTTGGAGACGGAGAGAGCTGGGCCCACATCTTCACCCACCGCCGTCTCTTCGGCCTTTGGCAAGATACTGTATGTTCCTGCCCTAGCCTGTTGGCTCAGTGGATAGAGCCTCGGCCTGTGGACTGAAGGGAGCTAGGTTCGATTCCACTCGAGGGTACATACCTTGGTTGCAGGCTCAAGCCCCGACCTCGTGTTATTGTATGTTCCCAAACCTCCCGGGTCCTCATCTGTAGGATCGGAGTAATACCCATCTTACGGTGGTCGTCAGAAATAATACACTTGGTCCTTCCGAGCCCTACACCCCCTAGCACAGGGTCTGGTGCATAGTAGGCACTCGGTACGTGCCTGTAGCGTAAGTGATGGGTGCCGGGGGCTCACAGGAGGCCTGCGCATAATAAGACTTAATGGAATGGTTCCTGTTGTTTTGCGTATGGCCTCCCATGCTCCCCGCCGCCTTCGCTCCCCACGCCTTCCTGCTGGGCCCTCCCGCGCCCTCTTCTCCCTGGACTTCTCTGAAAGAGCTCAGGCTCTCCCTCTTGCCATTCTCTGTCCCCCCTCGGTAAGCCTGGCGCCCTCCCCGAGCATCGCGCTGTCACTCCTCCTGTCCCGGGACCACCTTCTCTCGGACCCGCCCCTCCGAAGGTCCCCGCTTCTCTCCGTCGTCGTCATAGTTGCATCGTCTTAGCCGCGAAGCTTGTCTGAGGGGGTGACCGGGCCACCGAACCCGGGGTCTGGGCGTCTCTGCACCGAGGCTGCATGACCTTGGCTGGGGGAGCACGGGGCACGCGGCCCTCCTTCCGGAGGGAGCTGGCGAGGCTGGCGGAGGGGGCAGGCGAGGGTCCCTCGGGAGGTAGGAATGGGGTTGCAGGTTCTCTCTGTTAACGTCTGCCCGTCTCCTCTCTTGCAGTGCGCCTCCATGACAGCATTTCCGAAGAAGGGTTCCACTACCTCGTGTTCGACCTGTAAGTGCACTTTGTGAGGACGCGGGGCCTTTCCTTCTGGCAGCGGCGTGCTGCTGAGGGCCCCCCGGGCTCTGAGCCCCAGAGAGGCCATTGCTGTCACATTTCTGTGCAGCAGCGCGTCTTGTGCAGATGCTTTTGTCGTGTTTCTCCGCGTGTTGTCCTCGTGGAGAGACAGACTACAGCTCTTTGCAGGACCTGAAACATTCTGCGAATGCGTAGGTCGCTCATGCTAGTGGTAAACTGGGCTCTGACTGGCCACTCCTTCACTTGGTTGTGGTTTAATATCTTTTTTGTGTGTTTTTTTTTAATATATTTTATTGATTTTGTACAGAGAGGAACGGAGAGAGAGAGATAGAGAGTTAGAAACATCGATGAGAGAGAGTCATCGATCAGCTGCCTCTTGCACACCCCCTTTTGGGGATGTGCCCGCAACCAAGGTACATGCCCTTGACCGGAATCGAACCCGGGTCCCTTCGGTCCCCAAGCCGACGCTCTATCCATCGAGCTAAACCAGTTTCGGCGTGGTTTAATATCTTAATAGTGGGTGTCTCTCCACCTCCGGAAACGCCTCGTTGGTATGTTCAGGGTTGGCTCTCTGTCCTTAGTCCCATCGTTTGCCAACTTCACGCAGCAGGTCTGTTCTCTCGGGGCAGCTGGACCTTCGTGTTTGTGTTGGTCTCAAAGCGAAGCCTTTCTGAGGAGGGCAGTTATTTTCTCTTAGGTCCCGGGCTAGTCGTCTCCGCCAGAGCATTAGCTCTCTGTGGGTTCTACAAGCAGATGTGCAGGAGCGAGGGGAGGCCCAGGTCACGGGAGGGCTGAGTGAGACCCGGGCTCCTGGAGGACATGCCCGTGGAGGGAGTCCGGGTTTCTTTAAAAGCTGTTGTGCAGTGGGACCGTTACCCGTCGGTGCTGGGGTTGGCTGGCTGGCTCGCCCGCCTCCTCTGATCCTGTGTGTGTGCTGGTTGCAGGGTCACCGGCGGAGAGCTGTTTGAAGACATCGTGGCCAGAGAATACTACAGCGAAGCCGACGCCAGGTGAGGGGGTGGGGACCTGTCGTGCAGGTGTGGATCTCGGCCCTCTCGGGAGACCGGGCGCGGCGTCTGCTCCAATCGTCGTCGTTGGGGGAGGTCAGAGGGCTCTTGTCTGGACAGAGGTTCTGTGCATTGTGTGGGTGATACAAAAAGGTAAAAACTCAACACCTTGCAGACGAGATTTTTTTCCCAACGCTTTCTACAAGCCTCCATGCCCATCGCCCCCAAATCCCTCTCCGGTGCACTGCGTGTACTTGCAGGCATGCCCAAGGCTTGTCCCTGCCCCTTCTCTTTCCTTTGACAAATCCCACTGTGTATAAAGAAAGCATCCTGGGGGTGATCGGGGAATGGGGGCACATGGTTTATGGCCCAAAGCGTTAATAATCCAGTCAGGAACCTTGACCGTGTGAGGACCGTTCCCTGCCACACCTCAGCCCCAAGCCCTCGGCCGGCCGCGCCTTTCTGTGACACAGCAGATTCCTCCCACACCACAGCTCTGGGCGCTGTCTGGCCTGCCTTTCCGCCCCGGCTCCGCCCCCGGCCCCGACTTTGCTCCGAGGGTGATGTCCCTACAACCTGGTTTTGATCATCCTGCCTGTAGCGCATCGGGCACGTGTGGCAGCTCTGGCCGCCTCCGAGGAGCGGGGAGCCCAGCTTCCTCACAGCATTTCTCAGCCCGGAGAGCCCATTGTTTGCTGATCAACTTCAGATGCTCGCCTCAGGAAGAATTCTCAAGTGGGGAGCTGGATTCCAGTGCCAGCAGGGGAGGACGAGGCTGGGCGGCGGGGGCGGGGGCGGGGAGGTGGTGGTAGCTCAGGGATCTGGCAGGGAGGAGGGAGAACTTGGGGCGGGTGGGGGGGGGGGGAATGACTGTACCAGTGGGCTTGGCCTGGCTCTGCTGGGACACTTCGCACTTTTGCCATTTTTGGCCAGAAGGCGCTCCCTGCTAGCCGGGCTCTGTTCTAATTATACATTTTGGCGGAAGTGCCTCTTCAGCTCAGTCCGTTTGGCCTCCTCGTGGGCTGTGTCCTGTGGGGAGGCCTGAGCCCCCAGGAACCTCAAAAGCCCCTTTGGCTCTTGTGCAAGCCCCAGGGTCAGATTTTAAGGAAGGAGTCCTAAGTCTGGGTCACGCTGGAACCGGTTTGGCTCAGTGGCTAGGTCCCAGGTTCGATTCCAGTCAAGGCCATGTACCTTGGTTGCGGGCACATCCCCAGTGGGAGGTTGTGCAGGAGGCAGCTGGTCGATGTTTCTCTCTTATCGATGTTTCTGACTCTCTATCCCTCTCTCTTCCTTTCTGTAAAAAAATCAATAAAATATATTTTTTTAAAAATAAATAAGCCAAAACCGGTTTGGCTCAATGGATAGAGCGTCGGCTTGGGGACTGAAAGGTCCCGGGTTCGATTCCAGTCAAGGGCATGTACCTTAGTTGCAGGCATATCCCCAGTAGGGGGTGTGCAAGAGGCAGCTGATCGATGACTCTCTCTCATCGATATTTCTGACTCTCTCTCTCCCTTCCTCTCTGTACAAAATCAATAAAATATATTTAAAAAAAAATAATATGTCCAGGTCACCAGCCCAGCACCCCCAGACCCTGCAAGCCTGGTCCATATGCCTGGTTTCTTCAACCTCAACCTTGGGGCTAGATTTTTTTTAATTATTATTTTTTAAAACTTTTTAAATTATTTTTTTTAAATGTTTTTATTGTTTTCACAGAGGAAGGGAGAGGGAGAGGGAGAGGGAGAGAAACGTCAATGATGCGGAACTTGCGAGCGCTTTCCTTATCCTCTCCGGGGACGGTGACCAGCCATTCACCGTGGTCCAGCGTTGGGCCTGCCGTCGGAGGCGGTCCCCCCACGCGGCCTTTAACAAAGCTAGGCCGCCCGATCCCCGGCAGTAGAATGTTTGCCTTTGTACCAAGAAGGTTAGGGAAGCACCAGAATCTGCACGTGGCGTGTGCCCAGGCGACTCCGAGGGGTTTGTGCCGTGAGACCTACAGCTCTAACGAGCTTGTCTAAAACGACAATAACGTGTCCACGGGGCCCGTGGCAGGCCCGTGTGTGCTACACGTGTTCGTGACGGGACCAGCGCGCTTTCCTCATTGAGGAGCAGGAAATCCTTGTGGAAGTATTGAAGGCACGAGCACCGCGTCAGAAAGCTACATACATCTGAAAGGGAAGCTTTCTTTGAGTGATAAAAGCAATTAAGAGGCTAAAGGAAACATCAGTGATGATAGAGAATCATTGATGGGCCCCCAGGCTCCCTTCTGGGGATCGAGCCCGCCACCCCAGGCTTGTGCCCTGACTGGGAATTGAACCGTGACCTCCTGGTTCGTCATAGGTCAGTTCTCTGCCACGGAGCCACGCCGGCTGAGTGGGCCAGATGGCTGCCTTGTGAGGCGCCCTCTGTACCTTGTAGAGATTTAGAAGTCTCCCTGGCCTCTACCCACTAGATGCCAGTAGCACCCAGCCCCTCAGTTGTTGTGACGATCAGAAAAGTCTCCAGGCGTTGCCAAATGCCCCTCGGGAGGCTGAATTGTCCCCCAGTTTTCCTCGCTGCGCTAGACTGTCGACACTCCGCCAAGAGTTTGACTGTAAGTGGGGCAGGAATAGTTGGGAGTTGGGCAGCCTCATTCAAGAATCAGCATGACTGTGACTATCTTAGTTTGTCTTCTTTTTTCTTTTTTTGATGTATTTTATTGATTTTTTTTTTTTTTTTTTTTTTTTTACAGAGAGGAAGGTAGAGGGATAGAGAGTTAGAAACATCGATGAGAGAGAATTATCTACCAGCTGCCTCCTGCACACCCCCTACTGGGGATGTGCCCGCAACCAAGGTACATGCCCTTGTCGAGAATCGAACCCTGGGACCCATCAGTCCCACACTCTATCCACTGAGCCAAACCGGTTTCGGCAGTTTGTCTTCTTTTATGCAAAATCATTATCGGGCATGCTTCTTTAGCTACTCTGTTTTGTTAACGATTTTTTATGAGTGTATTTGAGTGAAACTGATAACAATTACCAGGAAGCAGAATCTCAACTGGTTGAGAAAATTCTCTAGAAAATGCCAGTTTTGCCACTTACTTTATACATCAGAATCTAAAGGCAAGCCAAAATCCATCGGTGATAGATTAGGGAGTTACATGAAATCCATCGGTGATAGATTAGGGAGGGGGATTGGATAAAAAGCAAACCAAATAGACACTTCTTTCACATCTGTGGATAGAGTACATGATAATAGCAATGAAGGGATTTGTGGTGCCCTGGTGTGGTGGCTGTGCTTTGAGAAGTGGGGTCGGGGGAGAGGGGAGAGATTGTTTTGCGATACCAGACTGTGTTATCAAGTATGTTATTTTAGATGCACAAAGATGACAGGCTCAGTTAAGGTGAAGATTGACCTTTGCTAGGAGAAAATACTGCCTTAGGCCATAACTACCCTCCATGAGCTGCTTTGAGTTTAGAAAGTTTTAGTTTCAGACCATCCTCTGTGGTTACTTTTGGTTTCTGAGTTTGTAAGGCTGCCACACAGGCCTCCCGTGAACTTATCAGGTTTAGTAGGCGGCCCCTTTTTTTGTCCAAACTTCCCCCTTTTGGTCATAAATCAATCCAAAGGATGCATCGATGACCAACCTTTTGGTTGGATAATGTGGTCCCACAATGCTAGGCAGGCTCATTCTTAGGAAGTCTTAGTGTCTTTTTCTCGCTGAAGCATGGACCATTGAGGACAAGACTGTAAACTTAGATGGAAGTCAAGGCTGAATTTTTCTCAAAAGTGAAAAGCGGATACAGTGGAACCTCGGTTCTCGAACTTAATTCATTCCAGAAGGCTGTTCAAGAAGCGATTGGTTTGAAAATCAATCATTTTTTTCCCCAACAGAAATAATGTAAATGAATTAACACACACATCCTTTTTTTTTTAATCCATTCTGGACCCCCAAATGATTCCCTGGGTTTGTGGGTTTTTTTTGTTTGTGGGTTGTTTTGTTCTGTGGTTTTATTTGTGTGTGTTTATATTTTTATTGATTTCAGAGAGGAAGGAAGAGGAAGAGGGAGGGAGAAACATCAATGATGAGAAAGAGTAATTGATGAGCTGCCTCCTGCATGCCCCCCATTTGGGGATCAAGCCTGCAACCTGGGATTGTGCCCTGACTAGAGTTGAACCGTTGAGTTCCTGATTGATCCTGATTGAACGATCCGGATTGATCGTGGCTCAACCACTGTGCCACCTTGGTACTCTTGATGGCCTCTTTATGTTTTACAATGTGCTGATCTTCGCCTTCCCCGGCACAGACGCATTCTCTCCTTTGCTTTCTGCCTAAGATGTGTTTTCAGTCATGCTGAGGTATCCGCCTGAAAGGGTGGCCCATTCCCAAAACCAAAGTTTGGGGCCACAACTGAGACACTTTCTCTATGAACAGCTTGGTCAAGAACCGAATTGTTCGAGAAGGGAGATTTTTGAGAAACAAGGTTTGACTGTAAATGGGAGGCAGTCAGGTCCTCGGGACCTTCATTCAGAAAAACAGTATAGACCGTTTTTAACCTATACGCTCTCATGATCCGAGTTTTACTGGCCTCACTTTTCTATTATTTTGTGTCTAGTATGACATTTATTTATAGTTTGAGGGCACACTATGTACTTGGGTGCTCTGGGCCCCTTGGAGGTACACGGTTCCTTAAAGATGTCTGTGTACTGGTTCGATCTCCCCCGCTAGATGACAGACTTTAGGGCAGGCTCTGGGCCTGGTTCCTTTGTGGTGCCTGTGGGCACCCAGTCAGTGTTGACGTGAACGTGCGTGCACCTGCCCCAAAACAACGCCGGTTTGGACGGACTCTCCTTGCCACCACAGGCCTCTCCCCCGAGAACAGAGTTACTAGGGGGCAAAAGAGAAGACAGGAAGGGGTGGGGTGTCCCCTCTCAGGGGCTGGGGCGTCTCCAGTGTCTTGGAAACAAACTGGGTTGTGTTGGACCTTCGGTCTCGGGAGGCATGGCGGACGCTGTCCCAGTCGCTCCTTTGCGGTTATCTATCGGGGGGCTCTGGACAGTCCACGCAGTCTGCCTGGGACTCCGTTCTTCTCCTGCAAGACGGGTTGAGCCAGATAAGCGGTTCTCAACCTGTGGGTGGCGACCCCTGTGGGGGCCGCACGACCCTTTCACAGGGGCCGCCTAAGACCATCGGAAAACACAGATACTTACATTACGATTCATAACAGGAGCAACATGGCGGTTAGGAAGTAGCAACGAAAACGATGTTAAGGTTGGGGGTCGCCACAGCGTGAGGAACTGGATTAAGGGGTCGCGGCACTAGGAAGGCTGAGAACCGCTGAGCTAGGGGATGTCCCGCGTCCAAGGTTATGCCTTACTGCTCAGCGATTTCCCGTGCTGCAGGTTCTCCGTGCTTGGGTCCACGGCCTGTGGTTGTGGAGGAGGTGGTTTAAACCCTCGCGGACATTTCTCTTCCTTCTGCTTTTGCAGCCACTGTATACACCAGATCCTGGAGAGCGTCAACCACATCCACCAGCACGACATCGTCCACAGGGACCTGAAGGTACTGCTCCGGCTCTCCCCGTTGGCTTTCCTGCTGGTGAGGTGTTGTCGCCACCTGGTGCCGGATGGCGGTACTGCGCGGGCCCGCCCACACGAAGCTCCCTCTGGGCCTGAGGGGTAGGCGAGGGCCTCACAAGGTTCTGTCTTCTCCTCCTCACGCAGCCAGAGAACCTGCTGCTGGCGAGTAAATGCAAGGGCGCCGCCGTCAAGCTGGCCGACTTCGGCCTCGCCATCGAGGTGCAGGGCGAGCAGCAGGCTTGGTTCGGTGAGCGTGACCCCGTCTTCCTGGAATGCGGCTCCCGCCCTTCCTCCTCTTCCTGGTCGGCCTTCCTCCTCCAGCACCAGCCGCCAGACCCTTAATGGCCCCGGCCGCCTCCAGGACGGGCCGAGAGGGCGGGGAGCGCTCCGAGGGCCCTGCGTGACTCAGGGCCGGCGGCTGGCTGTTGTCAGCGCCGCATCCTCGCTGCCCCTGGGGGGGACGGGCGTTCTGGGCAGGCACGTGGACGTGCCCTCTGATTGCGATTCCGGGCACGTCCTGGGAGCTTGAGGAGCCAAAGCATCCGAAGCGAGAAGGGGCCGAAACCGGTGTGGCTCAGTGGATAGAGAGCGTCGGCCTGCGGACCGAAAAGGTCCCGGGTTCGATTCCGGTCAAGGGCATGTACCTTGGTGGTGGGCACATCCCCAGTAGGGGGTGTGTAGGAGGCAGCCGATCGATGTCTCTCTCATCGATGTTTCTAACTCTCTGTCCCTCTCTCTTCCTCTCTAAAAAGTCAATAAAATATATTTTTTTTAAAAAGAAGCAGCAGCGAGAAGGGGCTTGGGAAACTGTTCTGGGTTTGAGGAATGTTAGTGGGTCCCCGTGAGAGAGAACGTGGGCTCAGCGTGCCTCTGCCTCTCTCTCTCCTGCTGCAGGCTTTGCTGGCACCCCGGGTTACCTGTCCCCCGAGGTCTTGAGGAAAGATCCCTATGGAAAGCCCGTGGACATCTGGGCCTGCGGTAAGCCCACCCCCCGCGCAGCTTTTCGGGGCTCAGGGCCCTCGAGGGCGAGGAAGAGGCCTCGCGCTCCTCTGCGGGCCCGCGGGCGCCTGGGACAGTGAGGTCACGGTGTGTGCTCTGGCGCCCGGGGAGGCTGTTCCCCCTCCCCCTCCCCGCGCACTTGCTGTCCCTTACACCTTCCTGAGGAGGGATGTGCCCACGCCCAGGAGGGTGGGTCGTGCCTCAGGACGTGCCTGGCTCGGCGCAGCACGGCGTGGCGTGGCGCACGGGGAGTGAGGCGTAGCGGGAAGGGCTGGCGGCCCCGCGTCCCTGGCTGGGCTCCGCCTCTGTCCCGCTCACGGCCCCGGCGTGCCGGGCGGCGCTGAGACCCGTGTGGGTTTTCCTCGGTTCCTGGGCAAAGTGAGTGACGCACCCCCGTGGCCCGTGGCCTGTCTCGTAGGAGTCATCCTGTATATTCTCCTGGTGGGATACCCTCCCTTCTGGGACGAGGATCAACACAAGCTGTATCAGCAGATCAAGGCCGGAGCCTACGACGTAAGGGGTCCCCACCCCGTGGTCTCTTCCGCGGGAAGGGGCAGGGTGCCAGGAGGGGTGGGGGTGTGGAGGACCCAGCGGCTGGCACACAGGTCTCCATTCTTGCCACCCACTGCCCCAGGGAGCGGCTTTTTTTTTTTTTTTTTTTTTTTTTTTTTTTTTTTTGCAGTCATTCTTGGTGTTGGTAAAGCCAGGAGCCCGCTGAGACCCTGGGGCAGGGAGGGGTGGCGTGCCGTCTGACATGGGGCGAGGCGCCTGGCAGCCTCCTCCGCAGCGGTGGGGCCCGGGGCACGTGGGGGAACCGCTGCTTCCTCCCAGTAGACGGCCGGGCTGACCCAGGGGATGCTGGAGTCCCTTCCCCGCTCTGAGCTCGTAGTCTGGTGTTCTCACCGTGACCGCTGGCTTCCCGTCCTGGCACGGGAGCCGGGGTCCCGCAGGCTCCTCTCACCCTTCCCCGGGCAGCGTTTGGCATAGCCCTCGCTCTCCCGCTGATGAAGACGGAGCCCACCTGCCAGGGTGCGAGGCTCACCGGTCTCACACCTCTCCTGCCCCCCTTTTCTGCTCCTTAGTTCCCATCACCAGAGTGGGACACGGTGACCCCGGAAGCCAAGAACCTGATCAACCAGATGCTGACCATAAACCCCGCCAAACGCATCACGGCCGACCAGGCACTCAAGCACCCGTGGGTCTGCGTAAGTGCCGTCACCCGGGACGGAGGAGGCCCGTGGGCCCTCCCACCCGCCTCACCCTTTCCATTCACGAGCAGAGAAGAGTTATTCTGGGCCCTGAGCAAGGACTCGGCAGAGAGGGAGGGCCCCGAGTCAGTGAACAGGGCGTGGAGAGGTTCCGGGAGGCATGTGGGGCCAATGGGCCTCTCCCCGCCTCCCTCCCCTTCACTTGTCCGGTGGGAGTTGGTTCTGATCTTGCACGTGGGCCTAGGCTGATGTCCTCGGACTCTGGGTGGTGGGTGAGAGGAAGCAGCTGGCATGGCCCCAAAGTGAATTGCATATTCAGACTTCAGCTCTCATACAAACTCCAATGGAAACGTAACCAAGACTCAGCAGAAACGAAGGGGGCCCCTGAACAGCTAAAAAGAGCACCTGAGGTTCAGGCAGAAGCTCACCCTGGGAGAGCCCTGAGGCTCTGGGTGTGGGTCAACGGAGTCTCGTTTCCACACACAGTCCTAGCGAGCTGGAGTTACCTGTTCACGCAAAGCAGAGGGTCTGCTACAGTTAGGCCCGTGGTCGGCAAACTCATCAGTCAACAGAGCCAAGTGTCAACAGTTCAATGATTGAATTTTTTTTTTTCTTCTTTTTAAAAAAAATATATTTTATTGATTTTTTTACAGAGAGGAAGGGAGAGGGATAGAAAGTTAGAAACATCGATGAGAGAGTAACATTGATCAGCTGCCTCCTGCACGCTCCCTACTGGGTGTGTGCCTGCAACCAAGGTACATGCCCTTCACCGGAATCGAACCCGAGACCCTTGAGTCCACAGGCCGACGCTCTATCCACTGAGCCAAACCGGTTTCAGTTGAAATTTCTTTTGATAGCCAAAATGTTTTAAACTTAAACTTAAACTTCTTTTAATGCCACTTCTTCAAAATAGACTCACCCAGGCCGTGGTATTTGGTGGAAGAGCCACACTCCAGGGGCCAAAGAGCTACATGAGCCACGGAGTTAGGCCGTGTGACAGCCACAGTGCATTGATGTATTATTCCTGTGTTTACTGATTGCCTCTTCGTGCTGGTCACCGTGTGGGAGCTGGAGAGACAAAGATGAATGAGGCACGGTCCCTCCCCCAAAGATCTCACAGATTATCCGGGGAGACGGGCACTCCAACACACAGCCACTCTGTGATGTGACAAGTACCTAATGAGTGCTTAGGTGCACCTGCTGTCTCTGAGGGAGGGAGGATTGCCGAGGGCTGCATGGAGGAGGTGGCCAGGAGTTCCTCAGGATGATAACCTGCAGACAGGTTAGCTTGGGCCAGGGTGAGAGGCCACAGGGGCGTTTAAGCAATGCTAGTTTGCAAGAGAATGAAGCCCATGCATGTTTCTGCCGAAGGAGTTCAGCTTTTATTCTGAAAAAAAAGGGAACCATTTGTAATTAAGGAAAACCATTTTGGAGGCTGTGTAGGAAATGGGTTGAAAAGGAAAAAGGCCCCAAAACCGGTTTGGTTCAGTGGATAGAGCGTCGGTCTGCAGACTGAAAGGTCCCAGGTTCGATTCCGGTCAGGGGCATGTACATTGGTTGTGGGCACATCCCCGGTGGGAGGTGTACAGGAGGCAGCTGGTTGATGTTTCTCTATCATTGATGTTTCTAGCTCTCTATCCCTCTCCTTCCTCTCTGTAAAAAGTCAATAAAATATAAAAAAAAGAAAGAGAGAGAAGAGAAGGAAAGGAAAGGAAAAAGGCTGGGACGGAGGCAGAGAGCTTAGGACGCTTGTGATTGTCTCGACAAAATCAGGTGAGGTCTCAGCGGAGGATCACGGGGTGGTGGGCAGTGTGGCAGGAAGAGGAGGACGTGGAGATATGTGGGCGTCGGCATCAGAAGAAGGGAGTGACGCCTTGGATTTGGGGAGAAGAGAGAGGGCTCTCTGGGGCCTGCCCGGTTTGAGTTGATCACTGACGGACGGCTGTGCCATTCACTGACCCAGAAGAAACCCAGGGGAGGAGCCAGATTGTGAGAAAAAACACGATGGTTTTAGCTTTGCACACACTGAGTCCGGTGTCCGAGGACCTTCGTCTGGAGACGTTCCGAGGGTTGTTGGAAACTCGGCTCTGGAGACTGGAACAGTGAACGTTGGAGTGCAGGCAGTCGCCGTTTTCGTCAGGTGGTGTTGAGGCTTGCTGCTTTGCCAGTTGACGCTTTCCTGTGGGCTGTGTGAGAGGGGGAGGGCCACGGGACGCAGCATGTCCTGCCGGAGATAGGGGAGCCTGCAGCGGGACTGAGAGAACTGCCGTGCAGCAGGAGCAGGAGCAGGAGGCCTCAGAAGCAGGGGCTTTTAGTCCGGGAGCTTCTGCAGCCGCACGCGTCAGAGCAGCTGTTGGCACCAGTGATCGCAGACCTTTAGCGGTTCCTGAGGCCTGAAAGGATGGTGACCCCTGCTTCAGAGAGTCCAATACAGGCAGAAAAGAGCCGAAACCAGTTTGGATAGAGCGTCGGTCTGCGGACTGAAAGGTCCCAGGTTCGATTCCGGTCAAGGGCACTGTACCTTGGTTGCAGGCACATCCCCGGTGGGGGGTGTGCTGGAGGCAGCTGGCCGATGTTTCTCTCTCATTGACGTTCCTAGCTCTCTATTCCTCTCCCTTCCTCTCTGTAAAAAATCAATAAAATATATATATTTTTTAAAGACTTAAAAAAAAAAAGACAGAAAAGAACCCATTGGTCTGACCGACGAGAGACCCTTGTTTCATGTGTGGCTGATAGAGGCAGGGAGGGAGGCCTGTCAGCCTGTCTCTGGGAGGAGAGGAGCGAATGGGGCTGAAGTGGGAAAGGAGTGGTATTTCTTAGAAAAGACAGACGGGCGAGGGGAGTTTCAACACTTTTGTTGAAGGAGGGGCTTGACTACAAAAGACAGATTGCAGGGAAGGGTATAATCTAGAGAAAGGGGTTAGAAACGTTAGCTGATTGCGGAAGCGAAGGTCTCGGTAGCTCAGAGCCCAGGTGGGGGTCCGCGCCGGACGGGAGGGAGGGAGGGGTGCTGCTGCTGAGGCCGGATGAGGTGCAGGCGGGGACAGGCGGCCTGAGGGTGGGGGTGTTGAGCTTGAGGCTGTCCTTCCTCTTAGGGCAGAAGCTGGAGGAGGAGGTGGAATGAGAGAGGAGGTTGGGAGAGTTGCTTTGGGAACCAGGAAAGGGAGCAGCAGGGGTGGGGGGAGACTGTAGAGTGGCCCCGTGTTGTGGGTTCCAGACTGGATGGGGTAGGATGTCTGTCTTTTTTTTTTTTTATTTAATATATTTCTTCATTGATTTCAAAGAGGAAGGGAGGAGAGAGAGAGAGAAACATCAATGATGAGAGACAACCATTGATTGGCTGCCTCCTGCACATCCCCCACTGGGGATGGAGCCCGCAACCCAGGCGTGTGCCCTTGGCTGGAATCGAACCTGGGACCCTTCAGTCCGCAGGCTGACGCTCTATCCACTGAGCCACGCAGGCTGGGGTGGGTGTCTCTTTCTTGCCAGCTGGCCAGGGCTAAGCAGCAGCAAAGGGAGGTGGTGAGTAGCTGAAAATGGGCTCTCAGGAACAGGGAAGGGGGCCTGGGGGGCCTGTGGCAGGCCCCTCCATCCACTCCCCTGCCTGTCTTGGTGGCCGCCGAGGGCATCGCCGGTCTGTGCTGTGTGGTAACCGATGCTTGTGCCACTGACCCTGAGTCATCGGAGAGATGCGTATCACGCCCCTCGAAGGAAGTTAGCCCTAGGACGTTAGGAAGATTTCCTTCCAAAAATGATAAAAAGCTTCTGAGATCACAGCTTCCTTTCGGTCCTTCTAGGCTAAGGTGACCAGACGTCCCGCTTTTGGCGGGACAGTCCCGATTTTCAACAATTTGTCCCGTGGCATTTTTTAAAAAGTCCCGATTTTTGGAAAGATTCTTTTAAATCTTTTGAACTTTTTTTAAAAATATATTTTATTGATTTTTTTTTTTTTTACAGAGAGGAGGAGAGAGGGATAGAGAGTTAGAAACATCGATGAGAGAGAATCATCGACCAGCTGCCTCTTGCACACCCCCTACTGGGGGCGTGCCCGCAACCACCGTACATGCCCTTGACTGGAATCAAACCTGGGACCTTTCAGCCCGCAGGCCGATGCTCTATCCACTGAGCCAAACCGGTTTCGACTCTTTTGAACTTTTTTGAAACGCTGCGGGACGCGGGACAAATCGTTAAAAATCGGGACGTCTGGTCACCTTACGCTTGGAGGCTCCTCGGGAGGAGCCAGGGTTCTTTGTCCAGGGTGGGCCCCCGGCTATCCTCACCGCTCCAGCTGGGCCCGCAGTAACCGGGGCTGCCGAGGCAGCATGGGGATCACAGCAGCAGGAGCCTGGTCCTCAGCCCCCGCCTCCCCAAGGGGCTGAGCATGCTCCTCGGGCCCCTCCTCCCGGTCCGTTCCTCGTCCTCCCTCACCCTGAGTTCTGGGCAGAGCTTCTGCTCTAAAAGCATCTTCGCGCCTGTGACCTCATTGTATCCTCTGGGCGGCTCCGGGGCGGCTGGCGTGCATGGCCGTCCGTGCAGGGACCAGGGCGAGGGGCCGAGAACCTGCCTGGGGACTCACGGGCCTGCCTGTCTGTCTGTCCTTCAGCAACGGTCCACGGTGGCGTCCATGATGCATCGCCAGGAGACGGTGGAGTGCTTGCGCAAGTTCAATGCCCGGAGGAAACTGAAGGTGAGTCCTGCCTCCGGGCACTGCCCTGACGGCGTCCCTTTGACCGTGTACCCCCCGCCCACTCCACCCCAGCCCCATCCCGGCAGGAGCCGGAGCGGAGCCGTGCACGGTGCACAGCGTGGGGCCTGAGAGACCTGCTGTCTCCGGGCTCCCCTCTCCCCGAGTCCGTCCGTCCGTCCGTCCGTCCGGCTGGATTCCCAGTCCCCTCCTCTTCCCCCAGGGTGCCATCCTCACGACCATGCTCGTCTCCAGGAACTTCTCAGGTACGTCCTCCCGTTCTGCCGAGGTGAGTGGGTCCGAGGTGAGTGGGTTCGAGCGGGGCGTCTGGCGGCCCCCGGACCAGGAGGAGAGGACCCTGCTGCCGCCGGGCGGGCCTGGCGTTCGGGGGCTCTCCTTGGACTCAGGTACAGGAGCTCTGCTCCCTGGCACCTCCCCGGGCGCAGCCTGCCCGCCTCCCGGGGACTGGAGTGAGCGCTCGGAGGCACTCCCAGCACGCTGCGGTGTTAGCCCGTGGCTAGGGAGCTGGAGGAGGTGCCGGGGACACGGAGGTGAGAGGCAGGGAAGATGGCAGGCTGGGAGGCTCTCTCCTCCGCTGCGTCCGAGGAGAGGTGGCGGACAGACCAGCCCCGGTGCTCAGCCTGTGCTCTGGGACACGAGCTGTGAGAGGGCAGAGGTGGAGGGTGGAGGGGAAGGCCCTCGCTGCAATGTGCATGAGGAACTAGGAGAGCTGGGACCGGTACTTTGTAAATCACACTTGACATTTCTTTTCAAAGATGCAAGACACTCCGCCTCCTCCCCACCCGGCCCCGCCCCGCCCCCGCCCCCTCATTGTGTGCCCCCCCTGGGCAGCACAGTGGCCTTTTCTGTGAGAGAAAGATTCGTGTCAGGCCTCCCAGAAGACAGACGTTCTCTTCTCTGCTTGCCCTTTTCTCTGCTCTTCCCGCCCCCCGGCCCCTGACCCCCGGGCCCACTGCCCTCGTTCCCCTGGCAGGACGCACTGCCACGGAGAGGGGGGCGGGAGGCTGGCAGTGTGGCAGCCACTCTGGGCAGAGGCTGCTCCCTTGAACCCGAGTCCCGGTGGGCTCGTCCGTGTTGGTTCCTGGCTCTGAGGAAGCCACGGGGCGAGGGCATGGGGCCTCAGGAGCTGGTGCCCGGGTGAGAGCCGCAGGGCCCTGGAGGGTCAGGCCTGGAGAGGGAGCCAAGAGCTCCCCCTTGGCCCTGGCGGGGGCTCGTTCCCGGGTTGTGGGCACCCACGAGGGGAAGTCCGTGGTCCGGGGTTCACCCTCGCCAGGGGGAGCAGGAGGGCGAGGCTCACAGCCTCGACCTTCCTGGTGTAAGAGCCTTTTTTAGGGCGTTTCTGGGCTGCCCCTAGAATGGAGATCTGCTCTCTCTCTGAGCGGAGGACGGACAGGCTGCTGGGAAGCCAACAGCACGTGCCCGTCCCGGGGCCTCGGGCCTCTGCGTGCTCCCAGGAAGCCGGCGCCCTGGTGTCCGGGGGCCGGGCTCCGCTCCGTGTCCGCGCAGAGCGCCTCCCTGAGCCCGGAACGGCCTCCTGCCCCCGCTGCCCGGCCGTCCGGCCTCTGCGTCCACCTCGCCCGGGCCAGAGCCACGGCCCTGCGGGGCTCAGGCTGACCTTGCTGCCCACCTCGGGGGCAGGGGAGGACAGAGCCTGGCTCAGGAGCTTCTGCAGAGGCGTGTGGCGGGGAGGACCCAGAAGGAAGGTCGCCAGGGTGTTTTTCCAGGAACGAGGAGGCTGTTTTCTGAGCGGGTCCCAGGCAGGGTGCAGCTCAGCCGGAGCTCCGGCAGGCTGGCTGGTGGAGAAATCCGGGCTTCGGCAGTTAACGTGTTTTTTTTTTAACTGCTTCGGTGGCCTGGACTTTCTGTCGGGGCCTCATTTCTTCGGCATCTGCACCCTCAGAACCTGGGAAATTCAGGGAAAAGCCGCCCCCGCGCCCTGCCGGAGGGGGAGAGCAGCCATCTCTGAGGAGCCAGGGGTGTGGCCATCAGGGACCGCGCTGGGCCCTGAGTGCCGGTCTCTCTCAGTCCAGAATGCGGCGGGGGAACGGCTGTCTGGAAACGCCCCGGTCAGGCCGCCAGGGAGTGGGGGGAGTAGTGAGGCTCAGGGTCCTCACGGCCTCCAGCCAGGGTGGGGCCGCCTCTCCCCAGCCAGGCTCTCCCCGTAGACAGACCCTCCTCCGAGGTGGTCACAGGACATGTGCTGGAGCCATCCCCCCCCACCCCCGGGGAGCCGTGGCCTTCCCCCGCCCCGGCTGCGCCCCGTCCTCCCAGGTCCCCAGACTGCTGCAGGGCTGGCTGCGCCTGCTCCTCGGCCTCCCCGGCGCCTTCGCTCCCCCAGCTCGGCCGGCTTGGCCACGCCGCCCGGACCCTGCTGTGCCCGGGCCCTGCTGTGCGCGGGCGGGCGGCCAGCGGGCTCCCGGCTGGGGCATGCTCCTGCGGACTGGCCCCCGTGGCTTCGCGGCAGCGCTGGGCACTGAGAGACTGTATCCCCTCAGTTGGCAGGCAGAGCTCCGCCCCCGCCTCGCCTGCCGCGAGCGCCGCCGGCCTGGCCGGGCAAGGTACGTGGCATGAGTCCTCCCCGACCGCCCGCCCGCCCGCCTGCCTCGGCCCCCGCCACCCCGCCAGGAGGGCCAGCATGCCAGGCCCGCGCACCAGGGAGGCGAGTCCCATGCTTGCGGGCTGAGATGGGCATGCCGATGGACCACCTAACTTGGCACCTGCGAGCGCATTGGTGTTACGGAGCGCCTAACCAGCCGTGCATGCTGGGCGCTTGCCCGCTCTCAGGAGGCAGTAGCCTGGGGACTGGAGCGGGCAGCAGGAGGCTTTCCTCCGGGCCGGCCCCGCAGGGCGAGGCCGCAGCAGCACTGCGGGAGACCCCACAGGGCTGCCTGGCGTCTCAGGCCTCCGGGCTGCCAGGCCACAGAGTGCTGCTGTGGAGACAGCGTCCTGGGTTTGGATCCTAGCCCTGCCACACCCCGAGCAAGCCGGGCCTGCCCTCCCAGCCTTCGTGTTCCCATCCCGCCAGCGGGGCTAACCAACGTCATGGTCACGAGTGTGATCATGAAGGCGGAAGGCTCTCAACCCTGCCTGTCCACGACAGCTTGTGAAAAAAAAAAAAAAACCCATGCTGGGACCTGTAAAAAAAAAAAAATACCACCCCAGGCAAATAAAGTCAGAATCCCTGGGGCATGGGGTAAGCATTTTTTTTTTTAAAGCTCCCCAACTGATCCTAATGGGCAGTTGGAGTTGAGAACGCTGATGTACGTAAGGCACTTAATATAGTAGGTGGTCAGGCCTCCTAGTAAATACATTAAAAACATATGTATATGTTATTGAATTTTTTATAGAGAGGAAGGGAGAGGGATAGAGAGCTAGAAACATCGATCAGCTGCCTCTTGCACACCCCCTACTGGGGATGTGCCCGCAACCAAGGTACATGCCCTTGACCGGAATCGAACCTGGGACCTTTCAGTCTGCAGACTAATGCTCTTATCTACTGAGCCAAACCGGTTTCGGCTAAAAACATAACTTTCTAGTCACCCCATCACGCCTAGAGGGAGGTTGGACCAAGGGGGGGGGGTGTGGAAGGACCCCTGTTCTCCCTGTAGAGAGGCTGGCCTCGGTGTGGGCTGAATGACCACCTGCAGGCAAGAGCGGCAGCCGCTGGCACTTCCCGCGTGCTTGCTGTGCGCCACGCACTCCGCTTAGTGCTTTCCACGCATGATCCCTTTGGATCCCACCACTGTCCTGTGACCCAGGCCCTTCGGGTTTAAGAAAGCGGAGGCTCGGATGGGTGCAGCCCCTCACTCACTCCAGGCCACGCAGATAACTAGCGAGTGGTAGAACTACGATGCAAACCCAGCGAAGTCCAGTGGATCAGACAGTTGAGCTGATTCCATCTCCCAGTGCCTCCCAGACTCCCCCATCTCCTGTCTGCTCCCGGCTGTCCTGCACAGAGCTCAGCACCCTGTGCCGGCTGGGCTCTGTGTCATGCCTTGTGATTCTGCCCGGCCCTTCTGCTCAGTGGGCTCAGAGAGCGGCCCCGGGGAAGGGTAGCAGACAGGACCCAGTCAACCCGGTAAGGACCTGCCCACGTCGAGGCTTCACCCCCCCGGCAAAACCCTCCTGTAGGTGGTCCTGGTCCCTGTGTCTGTGTCTGTCTGTCCTCATGTCTGGTCTCCTTCGTGAACTGTGACACTCTCGTTTCCTGAGAGCACTCCGATGTCTTGCATCCTTCCGGCTTGGCCATCCCGAGACTCTCCGTGGCGTCCAGGGACGGAGCCCTCACCGTTCCCCCGGTGCTCCGCCGGCCCTCGGCCCCCCGGGGGGAAGCTGTCAGAGGCAGAGTTCCCGGGGCCCCCGGCGGCTCCGGTACTGAATGCGGTTTCTCCTCTCGAGCACAGTGTGTCGTCTCTGTCTCTGCCGAGCCGTCTTCCGCGGCAGAGGAGGCCCGGGGGCCCGCCCCGAGGGTCTGGCGCTGCTTGAGACACGTCCGTCCTTCGTGCTTGGGGGCTACCAGGCGGTGTTCTGCTTCCAGGGCTTCCCGGAGACGCCTGGCCCCCCCTGCAGACACCGCGGCCCCCGCGGGCCCGGCCGCCGGGCGTCAGGTTGGAGCACGGGTGCAGGCCGAGAGACCTGATTGTCCTCTTTGTCTCCACAGCTGCCAAAAGCCTGCTGAACAAGAAGTCGGACGGCGGCGTCAAGGTAGGTGTCTCCGCCCGGCTCGCCCGAGGCGGCCTCTCCCTCCTGCGGTCACTGACGGGGACTCTCAGCTCCCCTGGTCCCCGAGTCCCTGGGAGTCTGCCTGTCCTCGCTTCTCCGCTTTCCGCCAGAAACCTGTGTGCTCGGAACAGCAGGTTCCGCTGGCCTGAGAGGGCGGAGGGCGGGTGTGTGTCTCTCCTGGCCCTAGCTGATCCCCAAAGACTCCGGGGAACAGATCCAAATTACAGTCCTACCGAAGCCGAGTCCTGAACTTGACTTCCAGGCAGGTGCCTCGATAGCAGGGCTTTTGACTCTCTGGGTGTTTTTGTTTTTTTTAGTCACGTGGTTAAGTGTTGTTGTTTTTTTCTTGTTCTTTCTGAAGCACAAACCCTTTTCATCAAGTGAAAGCAAAGCTCGCCTGCAGCCATTGTCCTTTCGGTCTTTGCTTATCTCGAATCTCTGGTAGGGCCCCGCTCGCGTGGCTACCTCTCATTGGAAGCGTCTTGTCTTACACTTCCTTGAGGTGTAGGCCCCTGGGAAGCAGGCGAGGGACATGGGAGGCACAGCTCTCTCCCTTCTGGTTTGGAGCTTTTCCCGGGGGGTCCGGGAAAGAGGAGGGACGAGGGCCTGCAGGGACCAGCAGGAAGCCCTCGAGTGAGGAGAGGTGGCTGGGGATCCTCACAGGGCCCAAGGTGGGTGCCGTGGGGACAGAAAGGGCCTTGGGGACGGGGCGTGGGACAGGAGTTCATGCCACCGTGAAGCCTATCCATTTACACGACGGAGAGTTTCAAACTGAAGTTGCCCAAACCTTTCCACCCTGGCAAACATTTCAGCGGCGCCTTTCCCCAGGATCCCGTGCCCCCCCGCTGAGGTGCACACGTGCGGCCCGTTTCCCCCCCGCCCCCTCCCTCCTTTCATTCTCTGCGTGCTTGCTTCTGTGCACGCCTGCCCCAGGGAGCGGAGCCCTGGCGCTGGGGCTGACCGCAGCCCCTTCCGGTTGTGGGGGCGTGAGCCGGATGGTGGAACCAAGATGGGAAAGGCGGCAGGTGTCGCTGGAGAGCGGTTTTGCATATTTCCGTTTGGGGGGGGAATAGCTACCGTGTTTCCCCGAAAATAAGACATCCTCCGAAAGTAAGGCCTAGCGCATGGAAAGATAAGGCATCCCCTGAAAATAAGACCTAGCGCAACTTTGGGAGGAAAAAATTAATATAAGACACTGTCTTATTTTCGGGGAAACAGGGCAGAATCGGTCAACCTTCGCGGAGTGTGTCATCAGTAGCCGCGTGGCCCAGAGCTGCCCTCAGTCCGAGGAGACCCAGGGGTGTGGGGGGTGGTGCGTTAGAAAGGGGCAAGCTGTCCTGCAGCTGCGGAAGTTGCGAGGCTGTTCCAGAGGAAGATGGACACGCCTGGGGCCCGCCAAGCGCCGGACGGTCCGTGGTGCGGCCCCTACGCGCGATGGTTCTGTGGAAGAAGCTTCTGGGAACCAAGTCAGTCATGGCCCCTAGGGAGTGGGAGTAGAGGTGAGGACAGGGGAGGGGACGCACCTTTTGTGTGGTAGTGTGTTTTTTAAAGTGAGAGTGTATCCTATAACGTGAGAACAACAAGAGACATCTGTGTGGCCTGCCACTTGGCAGGGGGCGTGTGGTAGAGAGAGGGGTGTCAGAGACACAGCTGGGTGGGTCTGGTTGGGCAGAGGAGTGGCAGGGCCGTCTGTCAGACCACAGGAAACGCTGAAGGCCACCGAGAAGGAAGCTACATACGCGGGTTGTGTTTTGTTTTGTTTTAAGAGATGTGGCTAAGGTAAGGTGACCAGACGTCCCGCTTTTGGCGGGACAGTCCCGATTTTTAACAATTGGTCCCGCGTCCTGCGGCGTCTTAAAAAAGTCCCTATTTTTGTCCAAAAACCGGGACTTTTTTAAGACGCCGCGGGACACGGGACCAATTGTTAAAAAGTGGGACGTCTGGTCACCTTAGGCTAAGGGTGTAAGACATAGAGAAGAGTGTAGAGGCCGGACACAGAGCTGTCAGTTAGGATTTGTGATAGTCTGGGGTGCAGGGTGAAGAAAAGGGATTAGAAATAGAAAGGGGTAATATTCAAAACACCCACCAGAAGAGCATTCGCACCGACTGTCGGAACAGGCGTTGCCGTGGGCAGTGGGTCTGGCTGTGCCCAGGGATGCTGGGGTCTGAGGAGATAGGAGTTCAGCTCAGAGATGTGTCAGGGGGAGAGGGTTAAGGAAGGGTCCGTCGAAGATAACATAGAAGTTGTGGAATGTCCAAGGGATTGGTGGTGCCTCTGCCTGACATGGAGTAGTGGGAAGGAGGGCCCAGCGGGAGGGACAAGATTGGTTTTGACCACCTGGAGGTTGAGAGGTGGCAGGGATCTGGGTGGGGAATGACCGGGGGTACCCCCAGGGGGAGGGCCACATGGGATGTGCCAATGGGACTCACGTGAGTGCATCACCAGTCCGCCCTCAGGAAGCAGCGACAGAGCCCCCCTTTCAGTGCTCACGGGGAGTGGGGGGGAGACGGGGAAGCCACCTGTCCTGGCACAGACTGCCGAGGTCCGTGAGGGGTGTGCACGGGGCTGCGGGAGTGGGGAGGCTGCAGGAGCCGGGGCGAGAGAGACCAGCATCGGGGCCAGAACAGGGAACCTTTCTGGAAGAGACAGCCCATGAGCTGAGTTGGAAGGATTCGTTGGGTTTTGCCAGGTTGAGGAGAGGAGAAGGAAGAAGAATGTTCCAGGCAGAGGGAACAGCATGCGCGGAGATACTCGAGTTTGGGCAGCTCGGTGATTCTGGGAACCTGAATCCCTGGTGTCTGCCGGCGGAAGCAAAGATCGAGGGCACCAAACAGGAGCTGCAGTGAAGCAGTGACCGCCGAGATGGTGTGAGAGGGTGGATCAGAGCATTGAGGGACACGTTTCTAGCAGGTCTTCTAGATGCTTGGCCCATGGATGACCGTCTGGTGTGGCCGTGTAAGACTAGCCTAAGGAGCTAACTAAAAGTACAGATTCCAGGGTAACCTGGAATCCAGATCCAGAAAGCCCTGGGTGGGAGATAAAGTCTGAATTTTAATCATACGTCCCCTTCCCCCATGTGAATCCATGAAGGATTAAGAGGCAGAACTCGGGGGCCGTCTATGATTAAGGGGCTGGAAGAAAAAAGGAGGACTCAAGAAAGGAAATGCAGACAGAACAAGGAGGTGGGGGGAAACGGGTATGCGACATCCTTCCAGGAACACAGGAGGATGAGAACTCGGGGGACAGAATCACTAAACTGCTCTGAATGAAAACGTGTGGGGGACCCAGCCAGTGTCTGGCTTCAGGTGCTCCCTAAATGAGTTTGATTCTGGGGGAAAGACTTTGGACATCGTGTGGGGACCCCAGAGGCTGAGGTGCAAGTGTTTGAGGAGAGAATGGCTGACCCACGTTAAAAGGGCAGCCACAGGCCGGCCGGCCGGGGGAAACCAGCCCTGCAGGTGTGATGGGAAGTTATACGGAAGAGATTTCTCTACTAAATAGAGAATCCTCCCCAAAACCCAGCCGATGGGGGTCAGAGAAGAGGAACTGGCAGTCTGTCTGGAAAGGAGGGAAGGCGGCTCCCGTGGGGGGGTTTAGGGTGAGCCTCACTAACATCAGAGACATAGGTACACATCGGAACAGAGTGCGGCTTCTGACTCCCGGAGTGAGTGAGTGAGTGGGAAATCGGGATGGCCTCTTGTAAAGCGGCCTGAGTGTCGAAACCGATGCAAGCGTGCCTGCCTTGTCTGCCCGCTAAGTCTGCTTCTGGAAATTTCTCCTGAAGAAGTAATGCAAAATGTGGAGAAAACCGAAAGCGGAAAGATGTTCAGTGTGACGTGACGTATAGCCGTGAAAAGACGGGAGGTGATCCCAAAAGCCAGTGGATGATGACCACGTCATTATGGGAAATCCTTCACAGGCCGTTCTAAAGCTACTGATTGCCATGACCGTGGTAACGGAGATGAGATATAATGACAGAGACGTTTTATATCAAGTGGGGGGTAAAGCAGTGCACCCTCTACTACCTACATTTGTTTTAAAAAAAACAACAACAACAATGTGTTGATAGATCACATTCAGTATATGGCTGGCACGCGGGTAGAAATGAACTGGAAGGGAACCCACGGATGTGTTAATAATAACCTCCCTGGGGATGGGAATTTAGGAAGCTTTTATTTTACACATTTTTTTCTGTACGTCCTGTATATTTCAGCTAGGTGATGCATTCCTTGGATAACCAGAATGAAAATGAAATTACTATTTCTTTTCTCAGTAAAGCATAACTTTGTATATAGCTTATAATGACATTTTTAAATTGTGTAAGAAAAGACGGGCAAGAGTGATAGAATTCAGGATTCCTCCCCCACCCCACCCCCATTCTTTCCTGTTTTCCACATGGCTTGTAATGTGGCTGCAGTCCTTGTAGGATCGGGAACAAGGATATGACAGTGACGCGTTGGATGAACCTAAGACGTGGGGTTTGGTTTTCTGAAAGTGACGGCAATACGCTGGGCTGGGAGGGAGGCTGTGACGTGGCTCAGAATCCTCAGCTGTCTGCATTGTCGTGGGTCTTTCTTTTATCCCCTCTCCTCCTGCCCCGCCTCCTCCTTCCCCAGTGCCTGCTGCCTGAGGTCCGTCGAGTGGTCTCCTTCTCACTATCCAGAAGCTTCCACCACAAGATACTCGGGTAGCAACAGTTTGAGCAGCGAGCCTACTTTGTGGGGTTGAATTTGGGGACTTTGGGTTCCAGTTAGGTTTCTTGGAAGGCAGACGCCAGTGCCCCAAGGTCTGTGGAAGAGTGAGAGCCACTCGGAGGGGCCGCCGACTCTCAGATCCCTGGCGGTGCCTGGCTGAGGACCACTCCTGTGTTCTGCCAGGCCCAGGCCTGCATGGCCATCGGTGTTTAAGAAGAGAGAGAGAAAAGAGGATATAGATATTTCCCTAAGCGCTGTGTCAATATTTGTTTAAGGATGGAAAGGAGGCTTGAACCCTTTTGCTGGTTTGAAATTTCGAATAAATATTTCATTTCTCAATCTAAGTGAGATGGAATTCCTTAGAAATGACCTGGGATTTCATGGTGCTGCCGTGTGCTGGCTTTGCGTGGCTGGAGAGAGGAGCGGAGAGAAGACTGACTGCTCACCTAGCAGAAACTAATGCTTGAGTAGGAGAAGGCTGTCTCGGGTTTTCACGAAAGGCAGTTTAGGAAAAGGACAGTCCGCGAGGAGCACGCTGGGAGCGCATTGCCCAGGAAGCGGAGCGGACAGCTGCAGGTGCAGGGCCCAGGAGAACAGCCGTGGTGACCGGCTCCTGAACACCGCCCCACCCCAGCCGGGCCTGGTTGTGCCCCTGCGGAGTTTCGCTGACCGGATTCTGGGCAGGATTCTGGGCAGGTCGGGAGCCTGTGCCCTGCAAACCCACTTCCCCTCAGTAAACGTTGGTTGGTTGCCCCATAACTTGAAGGCGTTCTGCGAGGCACCATGGAGATGACAAAGATAAAGAAGATACGGACAGTTAACAGTCTCGTTAGATGAAGGGGGATAAGAGTGAATGTAATAAGGCAACTCCCTCTTTTTGATTTTGAAAGTAAGATCTCGTATTATATTTGGCACATATGAAAGACTAGTGCACGAAAGTCCTAATTATATTTAGGCTTTCTTTTTCTTTAGATCGAATTCCTAATTGTGGGCCATTCTTTTTAAGTATTTGTAGTTACACCCCCCCCCCACTTTTTTTAAAATATAAATATAACAACATTCCCAAGAATGTCTTCTAACGTAGAGTGTCAGGATATCCGGCATAGTCCAAGGATCTTCCGTTCTTTTGGTCTGGGGCTCGGAGGAGGCTTAGGTCATCCCAAATCCGGGTTCCTCCTACACCAGCTGCCTCCTCCGTGCCCCTGGAGCTCAAACCCAGCAAGGTCCAAGTTGTATACCAGAGGAGCACCCGTGGGGAAGTCAGTGCCACACGACTGGCCCCCTGGGTTTGTCTCCAAAACACGTTGGCGTTGACAGCGCCAAAGCAGCCCGTGGTTGGAAGGGTCTGAGGATTGCGGTAAAACTGACCAAGCAGAACAGACAGGGCCAGATGGAGGTTAGTTCTTTCTCCCTCTGCCCTGATCATCAAAGCCCTCCAAGGACCACCAACAGACAGAAAGAAGCAAAAAAACGTGAAACGCAATGGGAATTCCCCTTTTGATGAGATCGTCAACATCGCCGGACAGACGCAGCACAGATCCGTTAGCTAGAGAACTCTCTGGAACCGTGAAGGAGATCCTGGGACTGCCCAGACGGTGGCCGCCACCCTCGTGACATCATAGATGACGTCAGCAGCGGTGCAGTGGGATGCCGGCTAGTGAAGAACCACAAAGGGAAGCGTTTCCGTTCAAGATCATGTGACGACAACAACAACAACAACAGCAGACAGAGGGTCAGCCTCTTGGGGGCAGGAGCATGCTCGCTGTGCCCAGAACAGCCCTCGGTCGGTGCGTGTTGGATGTCGCTCAGTGAATGTGTAATAGTCAAGCAGCAGACAGATGGGGCTCAAGGGGACTTCCGTCTCCCAGCAAGCTGCTTAGAAGATGCATAATTACCCTCACCTCTCAGACACAGCCTTCGGAGATGTGTCTGCCGTGTTCCGAGTGCCCTTTTATTTTTATGCTCTTGTCCCACAGCTGAACATGAAGTCCGTGAGCATCTGGTTGAGGCTGATCGATCACTGCTCCCAGCATTCCCCACAGTTTGCATCTCTGTCGCTGTAGTTGCTGCACTTCTCATTGCTCCTATTTTTTTCCACGCCCCAACGAATTGCAAAATGATAAATAACATCGAAATCTTACAAGCGAGAGTGGCCACTCCAACAAAGAAAGGGGTGCCAGATTTTTGTCTATCAGATAATGTTTACAAGCTCAACATCTTCATCATCCCAAAGCAGTTTAGGTAGACATCGGGGTGGCGGGGAGGAAAAAAAAAAAGCATATCGAGGTTCAGAGATCAAATGTTATTCCTCTGAGGGTGGTCTAGAGGACTAGACGCCTCACCAACCTGGTAGCTGCTCTTTGCCCGAATGTCAGGCAGACCTAGAAAGGAGAGAAAATAGGCCCAAAGCTATAAATCTGCATGAAAATGTTCCTCCCTCTCCCAGAACTGTGACTTACTCTCCTCTGTCAGCTTCCTCCGAGCTGGGCCGAGGTGCCTCTGAACCTGCTAAACCTGTGTTTGTGAGCCGACAGCCGAGGCCGCCTTCTCTCCCAGGGTCTGGAGCCCGCGCGTGCGGGCGCCCCGGCTCCTCCCTCCGCTCTTTCCTCCCGAGGCAGAGCCCATGCTGGTGCACTAACTTGCCGCGCGTCTCTGTGCTTCTCTTCTCACCTCCTCTCTCCTGTTCTTTCCCTCTTGCTGTGGTGTGTCCAGAAAAGGAAGTCCAGTTCCAGCGTGCACCTAATGGTGAGCCTTGCCTGCCCACCCATCTGCCCACTCCATGCTGCCTGTGCCCGCCTGTGCCAGCCACGCAAACCCATTCCGCCATGTGCGTGCGCGTCACTCATCCTCACTGCATGCTGTGCTGTGTGGGCAGGTGTGGCTGTCCTGCCGGGCGGGGGCCATGGCCCGAGGTCCCCCCGTAGCCTCACAAGTGGGCATTGGAACGTGCCTGCCGCAGCCCAGGGCAGCGGGGGAAGCTGGCAGGGACCCGGGGCCGGTGGCAAACACAGGGAGAGACCGTCGCTCACCGAGGCTCAGGGGGAGAGGCCCTGCTCCCCGGGCACGGACAGCGGCTTCCTGCCGACGGGCAGCCGGGGGGCGTCTGGTCGGCAGAGGAGCTGGCTGGAGGCTCGGTCTCTGAGCCTCACCCTCCCGGCCTGTCCCCCGGTGCAGTGCCCGTGAGCAGTGCCCGGCATTTTATCCTTCCCAGCCAGCCCCCGGGGGACAGCTCAAAGACAACAGGAAACACATGTATTGTTATCCTCACCTGAGGAAATGGTTTTCATTGATTTCGGGGAGAGAGGAAGCAGGGGAGAGAGAGAGAGAGAGAGAGAGAGAGAGAGGAAAAAAAACATCTATGGGTTGCCTATCACATGCCTACTGGGGATTGAACCTGCAACCTGGATATGTGCCCTGACCGGTCATCAAACCCGCCACCTTCTAGTGTATGGACGAGGCTCCAACTGAGCTCCCGGCCGGGGAGCCAGAGCGGGAACGCATCTTCTTTCCCCCGGGGCACGGGGCACCGAGAGCCGAGAGCCGCAAGGCAGCCTGAGTCCCTGTGAAACCGTCTGGGAAGCCGGGGGTGGGGCCGCCTGGGTGACGGCCCAGCCCTCAGAGAGGTCGGGCTTCGTGGACACCCGGAGCCTTCCCCGGGGCGGGATCTGGGTCAGCCGGGCTGGCAGGCAGGACAGGCTGGTGCAGACAGCCCCCGACGGACGGTCAGTGTCATCGCTGGCCTGGAGGTTCTGCTCCCTCCTTCCCAGCGGGAATGGGTGAGGGCATAGCTCATGTGGGTTTAGACCCACGTCCTGGCGCCTGGAACCCTCTCTCGGCCAGCAGCGTGCAGAGGAGTGTTGTAGCACTGGGCTCCTGGTTGGAGGTTCCGTGCCCGGACCCGGCTTTGGGCGCCTCAGCAAGCCCAGGGTGGAAGGCTCCGGGCTGGTCCGCGGGGCTGGAGAGAGGCCCCCGGGCGAGGAGACGCCGTCTGGGTAGCTTTGTGCGTGTATCCTCCTTTGGGCCTGCTCGGAGGCGGAGGCGGAGGCGGCATTTGTCTCTGTGCCTTTGGAAGATCTGGCAGGCATCAGGGCCACCAGCTCCGAGGGACCCTCATGAGACCGAGTCTGCTGGCTAGGGGGTCGTCAGTCCCCTGGGAGAGCATTGCTAGGACGCCCTGCCCCAGGAATGAGCCTTTTTCCTTCCTGCCATCCTCCCGCCAGCCCCCCTTGTGTGACGTTTGGAGAGATAAGGAGATAGCCCGCTGGTCCCTGCCGCTAGGAGTGCTGGCCTGCACGTCAGCCTCCTGTCTCCCGGGGGCTGGGCTCTGGGACTGCAGCCACAGCCCCCACCGGTGCTCACCTGTCCTTACCGGCAGCTGCCCCCGTCCGAGGGCTGTCGGCGGGAAGGCCAGCAGCACGCTCCTGTGGGCTCCCTGGGCCAGTGGGTGCATAGTCTAAGCCAGTGGTCGGCAAACTCATTCGTCAACAGAGCGGCAGCTCGCAGCTCGCGGGCTTCCTGTGGCTGGCGAGCCGTGGTTTGCCGGCCACCGGTTTAAGCAAAGCCAAACCCCACACCTTCCTCTCTGGACACCACCTTCTGGACCATGTTTTCTTTCTCTCCTTGTTCTCCTCCTTCCGGTCAGGCTTTGAGCTGGTGCTGTGAGGGAGGGGAGTACAGGTGGCAAGTTGAAGGGGCAGCAGGAAAATGCCCACAGAGAGGACACCCAGCGTGTCTGAACTTTGTTCTGCTTTCTCATAAGCCACCTTCCCTGTCCCCCTGTGACATGCACAGAAGCTCCTGCATTTCTTGGGGTGAGGTGCGGTTGTGCAAGGACATTGCATCTGGCTTCAGCAGAGCATTCTGGAGAGAGGCTCTGAGCCGGTCTTTGAAAGGCTGGTCCCACCTTGAGGATGCTTCCAGAGCTCAGTCTCTGGACCCCCTTCCAACTGCTCCCCTCTTTGGGTCACCTCTCCAACCTCGCTCCCATCAGCGTGGCGTTGTGGAGGCCACCTCCGCCCTAGCTCCTCCTCCAGGCCAGGCCAGGGGGCAAGGGCGGTCTGGGAGTCGGACCTGAGCTCTTCGGTGACTCCGGAGGAACTAAACCATCTGTTTTCTTGTCTCAGCCACAGAGCAACAACAAAAACAGTCTCGTAAGCCCAGCCCAAGAGCCTGCGCCCTTGCAGACGGCCATGGTACCTCCTGACTACGGCTTCTCCGCCCGCCCCTGCCCCTGGCTGCCTCCTGCTCCTCCCCACGCCCTCTTCTTGCCCTCCCTCCCAGGCCTCTCTGGCTCTCTTCCTTTCTGGATCCCTGTAGATCAGGCTGCTTTGCGTACTTACCCTTAGTCCCCTGCCCTCTCATTGCCCCAGCTGACCATGCTCCTCCCTGCACGGCCGAACTGCCCTGCTCCTTTCACTGTTGGGGGAAGAGTGGTCAGGGCTCTGAGCTAAACCCCCCGGCCCCCGGCGGGGCCCCCAGGGGGTCTGCGTTGGGGGCCGGGAAAGTCCGTTGCTGACAAAGGGAGAGGGTAGGAGCTTTCTCGGAGACCTCCTTATAAAACCTGCCTCAGCCTTTCCTTTGCAATTCACGAGCAGGAAGGGGGGCTGGGGTTCCTCTCTCCACCGCCCCCATGGTGCTCATCTCTGGGTTTCTGGAGAGCCCCGTGCTACTGGTGCTGTCGGAGTTCTCTAGGCTCTTCTGAGGGGTGCTGAGTGCTCCCCGAACTCCCTCTGGGAGCACAGGCTAGCGGTGTAGCAGGGGGGTAACTAGGAGAGCGGGAGGGGTGATCGCACCTGCTACTCCTTCTGCTTTCTGTGGACCCTCATGCTGCCTGCCATGCTGGTGTGGGGGCAGGAAGCCGGGGCAGGCAGAGGTGGGTGAAGCAGGCAGCTCTGGGCTCAGCTTGCTGCTGCGGGGCACCCTGGGTCTGTCTGGGACACCGTAGCCTACTCTCCCTTTGATGAACGCTGTTGGTGGGGTCCAGCCCATGCCTCAGCCCCACAGCTCCCCCGGTGTACCTGTCCCGCGGGGAAAGAAAGCTCAGAACGAGCAGGAATCAGGGTCAGGGTCTCTCTTTACCAGCCGGTGCTGTCCCCTAAACCTGGGGCTCCCAGCTACCTAGGACCCAGTTGGGTCAGGACATTTTGTCTTGTGAGAATGGCTAGTGGGCAGGCCCCAGTGGTCATGATAGAGGTCTCTGAGGGTACTGAGCAGGGGTGGGGTCCCTCGGGGAAGAGCAGTAAGTCTGTCTCTGAGGTCAGGAGGGTAATTTTAATCTTCCCTCACAGGAGCCACAAACCACCGTGGTGCATAACGCTACAGACGGGATCAAGGTGAGTGGGTCCTGAGTCTGTCCCCTGCCTTCCATGTCAGCAGGAAACCGGTGGGCTGCGTCACTGGTTCTGAGGGTCCCACAGACGGCAGCCTACAGGCTGTACATCCAGGCCAAGGTGTTTGCAGCGTCTAGGCTGTTGGTTACTCCGTTCTTTTTTTTAATAATATATTTTTATTGATGTCAGAGAGGAAAGGAGAGGGAGAGAGAGAGAAACATCAATGATGAGAATAATTGGTCAGCTCCTGCACACCCCTTACTGGGGATCGAGCCTGCACCCAGGGCACATCCCCTGACCAGGAATGGAACCATGACCTCCAGGCTCATAGGTCAATGCTCAGCCACTGAGCCACGCTGACCGGGCAGTGATCCATTCTCAGTGAAGCTGGGCTCAGGCTCTCAGCTAAACAGGACAGGCCTGGGCTTGAATCCTGGCCCTGGGCCACCGGACAAGACACTCCGCTGCTCTGCCTCTCCGTTACTCTCTCTCTGAACTGGGGGTGATAGTCATAGGATTTTCTCCCATGACGTGTGCCGTTTAAATGAGAATACATGTTAGCTAGAAAAACAGAGCAAGAATGCAATCAGAGCCAAAACCAGTTTGGCTCAGTGGATAGAGTGTTGGCCTGCGGACTGAAGGGTCCCAGGTTCTTTTCCAGTCAAGGGCATGTACCCTGGTTGCGGGCACATCCCCAGTGGACAGTGTGCAAGAGGCAGCTGGTCGATGTTTCTCTCTCATCTATGTTTTGAACTATCCCTCTCTCTTCCTCTTTGTAAAAAAATCAATAAAATATATTTTAAAAAAGAATACAATCAGACCCTAGGACCGTCTCCTTGGCCTCAGCTTTATGTCCTCAATAACCTTGTCTCCTGTTCACTCCCAGTCGCAAATAGTCATTGAGCCACACCGTTCATGGTTCTGTTTGATAGACATGACAAGACAGAAATCCCTCTCCACGGGTGTGGGGAAGGCAGATAATAAACCAAAAACCAAGAAACGAAGATAAAGTCTAGCTGTGATGAGTGCTTAGAGGAAACGGCACAGAGAGGGAACAGGCCCTTTAGTTACGTGGTCAGGAGGTGATGTTTGAACGACATGATGGGAGCAAGACCGCCAGGCAGACTCAGGCAGAGCGCCCTAGACGGAGGGACCCGCCCGGGCAGGGGCCTGGTATGTATACGGAAGGAAGAAATAGGAGAAATCGAGCAGAGAGATGAGCGTGAAGAGCAGGGTGGTAGGGAGGGTGATGAAGTTAGAGAAGCGGACTCCTGGGTAGGACTCGGGTTTGCATTTAATTCCAGCAGCTGCAAGAAGTTAGTGTAAGGTGACCAGATGTCCCACTTTTGGCGGGACAGTCCCGATTTTTTTCACAGTTTGTCCCTCATCCTGCAGCGTTTTAAAAAAGTCCCGATTGGGACTGTTGAAAAATTGGGACGTCTGGTCACCTTAGGTTAGTGATTCTCAGCAGGGGAGTAATACAGTCTGATCGACTCCGAAAAGCCGCTCTGGCCATGGGCATAGGAGGCACGAGGGAGCGCAGGGAGACCAGGAAGTGACTGGTCGTGCAGGTGCCAGGTGTTGGTAGCTTAGACTCGGGTGGTAGCTGCACCTTTGGGGAGAAGAGGGGAGATAGGATTTATTTCGGGGGCAGAACTGACAGGCTTGATTTTAGATCGCATAACCGAGCTACGAGAGAGGAAAAAAAAGAAAAGAACCGATCTAAAACCAAACCCAGGAGGTGACTAGGTTTCCGCCCCGATAGCAGCAGAGGTGGTGCCATTGACTCGGAGGAGACTGGGGAGGGAGTCCGGGCTCCCGGGGTTTGTGAGCGTCAAGAAGGCCGGGGTAGGGAGGGAACTGCCCAGGATCCCTCCCTGCACGAGCACAGGCTCTGCTCTTGTCCTGCTAGCCTGCCCGGGCCTTCCAAGGGGCTGCGTATTGAAAGGCGTGTTCTTTCTGGCCTGCAGGGCTCCACAGAGAGCTGCAACACCACCACGGAGGACGAGGACCTCAAAGGTAGGTGCTGGCCGGTAGGTCCCTTGGCGGGAGGGACGCCAGCCGTGTCCCAGGTGCCTCGGCTCCGGTGGGGCACCCGCCTCGTCTGCCCCGGAGCGGAGCGGAGACCGGTGGCTCCAAGTGCTCCAGAAGCGGGCGCGGCCTCGAGCTCCGTTCCGTGGGCCGCCACGGCTGGCAGGCTCCTGTCTCTTGCGGCCAGGCTGGGCAAGAGGTGTCTCTTCCCTGACCCCACGTCTGAGGCAGCTGAGCTGGAGTTATTTCGGAGCCTGCCCAGGGCCCGGGCTCAGAGACCTGTGCCCGTTGCAGAGAATGCTGGGTCGTCCCAGAGCAGGGACCCCCCTCCCCCGGAGCCCCCACAGAAGTAGCCCACAAATATGGTGGGTCCGTCAGCAGGGTGGCCAGTTGTCTCCGTATCCCCCCCCCCCCCGGGACTGAGGTGTGATTCCCCCAAGACGTGGGACGTTCTGTTTTAAAACGGGGACAGGCCCAGGCGCGTCGGGGGGAGCGGGTCTCTCTCGTCACAAAGTCTCGGCAGCAACCGCGGGGTCAGAGCCCCTTTTGGCGACGTCCTGGGGGTGCTGGGAGGACCACCAGCCTGAGCACGGGCTTGGGGGATGTGGGAGGGCCTGGCAGGCCACCCCCCTGGGAGTCTCTGTCCTGCTCTTTGGGTTGGCCTGGAATGGGGTTCCCTTTGCCTTGGTGGGTGACCTTAGGCCAGACTTGGAGGAACGTGGCAGGGCAGAGCGGAGAGAGCATGCCCAGGGGTAGCCAGGGGGCACCAAACCTTGTGGGGGGGGGGGGACGACCCAAAACACAGAAGCATAAACATGTAAGGCGGGAAAGAACTCGCTCAGGGCTGTTGGGGTGAAGGTCAGATCGGTTCAGTTCTGGTGATGCTGGCAGAGCACGTGGCTCCTTCACTGCTGGGCTCTTGACCCTGTAGCCCAGGCCCACAGAGCACTTCCCCGGGGAGCGGGGGCTCTCGGACAGGCTGTGCGAAGGCTCCTCTGGAAGCCGCAAGCCTGGGCCGGCGCCCCCACCCGGGCTCCTGGCTGAGAGGCCCGGTGCCCGCAGCAGCCCGAGGCATCGTCGCGCCCTGGCTCTGGGGGGCCACGGGCGCGGGTCCTGTTCGGCTTGCTCGCTCACCTGCCTTGTTCTGTTTGTTTTGGCTGCTCTGCCTTGCCCTGCCCTGCCCTGGCTGGCTAGCTGCCCCGCTCCGCACTGGGAATGGCAGCTCGGTGCCTGAAGGACGGAGCTCCCGGGACAGAACAGCCCCCTCTGCAGGCATGCAGCCCCAGCCTTCTCTCTGCTCCTCCGCCAGTAAGTGTGAGGGAGGCACCACCTGGCTTCCGCCCCCGGGCTCCTCCTGAAGCCCCTCGGGGGTCCCCGGAGCTGGCCGCCCAGCGCCCGCCCCGCCCCGTTAGTGAGCTTGGGGAGCGCGGGCCCTGCTGGGTGGGGGAGCTGATTGGAGGCGCGGTGAGCCAGGCAGGGGCGCCTGAGGCCAGGCCCACGGGCATGGCGTGGGGGGAGAGCAGCGCATGGTGGGGAGGAGGAGGAAGCCAGCAGGAGATGCACCGGGTCTCACCTCAGCCCCGAGCCAGGAAGAAAGGCCAGGTCAGAAGCCGGAGGCGGAGGGAGCCGGGTGGTCGGGGAGCTGCGATGGCTGAGAACCCCCCGCTGGGATGTGGGGTTCCCTGGGCTCAGCATTTCCTATGGAGGAGAGCCCGGGGCTAGGGCTTGGGCGAGACAGACCGGAGTTTGAGTCCCAGCTGCAGTACTTGCAGCAACGTGTGAAGCCGATTAAACCTCCCGGAGTTTGTCTCCTGGCCTGTGGAATGGGGAATAAAGTGACCCCTACCTCCAAGGGTTGTTATTGAAAATGAATGAGGTAGCAGGACATCTTGGTGCGATGCCTTGCTTGGTTCCGTGGTAGCTGGCTTGGGTATTTCTAGCTGTGTCTGTGTAGATCAGGCCTTTGTCTGCTTCTTTTTCTCCTACTGTCTGTCCTGTTAAGAGTTTCTAAACACAACCCTCTCCACCCACAGGGCCCCAGTCAGGTCCGACAGATGGGTTTGGTGGGGTGGGAGAGGGTGTGTGTGTGTGTGTGTGTGTGTCGCCTCGAGAACGTTGCTGGAGCTCGCTGGTCCCGCTAACCTGCTGCTAACCTGAAGGTGCTGACGGCTGTGGGGCCCCACTTGGCTGCCCTGCCCTCTCCCGGCTGTGCCACGGCTGTGCTGTGCTAATTGCTCACATTTGTCTTGCAGCCTCTCGCTCCCGTGAGGACAGAAAGGCATGTGTCCTGGGCCAGCCCGGGTTCTGGTCCGAGTTAGTTAGCCCAGTCCCGGTCTGAGCCCTCCCCCCTGGCAGCCCCCTCTGCTAACAGCGTCGTCCCCATAAGTGATCTGGGCTGAGCCCAGGATGTGGCGTGGGTAGGGGCTCTGAGGGCATCAGCTCCGCCTGCCTGTCATCTGTGCCTTGTCTTGATTCCCCTGAGGGACACATCCTGGCGTGAGAGCTGCTGTGAGATTTAGAGCTTCCCAAGGCCTGTCCGGGGTAAATGGAGCTGTCCTCCTGGCGAGAGGCTCTGTTTACAGAGCGTGTTTATAGTTCCGAGATCCGTCCTCTCAGAGGAGCCCTGTGGAGGAGAGGAGCGGGGGAGGGAGGGACGCATCCATCCTGACATTCATGCTTCGGAGCCCTTCCCCCTGGCTGGATTCTGCTCTCGGGCTGGCTGTTGCCTGGGGTGAGGTTCTGGACCCCTGAGTGGGGGCCGGGTGGAAGTGGGGGGGGAGGGGGCATGGTAACTGAGACCTGACTGAGCCCCTTCAGGTGAGAGACGTAAGCAGGTGATGGAAACAGCCTTATCCGAAGCTTCTTAGAGAAGCTGGACCTGCAGGAGCCGGGGTGCACACCTCTGCACGGAGCGCCCTGCACGGTGTGCCAGGCTCCTCCGCGGTTAGAGACCAGTGTTTTCTGCGTCCTGGTTGTTGATGGAGAGGGAGACAAAGGCCAGAGGACTGTGACCAATGGGCGGGCTTCAGGAGGAGGGGTCGTTAGTTCCCCAGACAGAGGAGGGATGGAGAGAGGGCCGGGCTCCCTCTGCCTGCAAAGGGCCTTCAAGACAGGCGAGAGGGAGGTCTCTGTCAAGGAGATAGAGGGGGATCCTTGAAGACTGGGGAGGCTCTCCGCCACTTAGGGGCTCCTCAGTCCCTCGCAGGTAAATTGCTGGATTTTCTCTCCTTCCCACCCCCCCCCAGTGCGAAAACAGGAGATAATTAAGATCACGGAGCAGCTGATTGAGGCCATCAACAATGGAGATTTTGAGGCCTACACGTGAGTAGAGACCTAATTCATTGAGGCTCAAGTTCCTCAAGGCCTTCTTCCCTCCTCCCCCAAAGCAGCGAGGACCCTGGGAGAAGGGAAGGCTGGGCCTCGGGCACAGCGTGAGAGGGAAACATCAGGCTGCTCGGTCGGTCTGTCGTTCGGTCGGTCGGTCGAGAGCCCTTCCTGGTGGGTGCCCTGGGCCGAGCCCTCCCGGGTGTGCTGGCAGTGGGCTGAGAGGGCAGGGCTAAGAGGCTTTAGCAGGCATACCCCTCCGATCTAAGCCGTCTTGTCAGGCCCAGAGCTGACCTCCTGCAGGACAGACACCCCTAATGAGGAAGAAAGATGGTGAGTAGTCCCCATGCAAGACCGACCGGCCGCTTTTTCTTGTCTGCAGGAAGATCTGTGATCCAGGCCTCACTTCCTTTGAGCCCGAAGCCCTTGGTAACCTCGTGGAGGGGATGGATTTCCATAAGTTTTACTTTGAGAATCGTGAGTGGGTTCGTGCTGCTGATATACTCCTGCCTGCCCCTCCGCCCCCGTGGCCTCTGTCCTCGCTCACCCTCTCCTCTTCCCCGTGGCCCACTTTCCTCTCCTTGGCCTGCTGCTGCCCCCTGGTCGGTGTGCTTGCCTCCGTGTGCCCTGAGAATGGCCTTACAGGGCACCTTTGAAGGCCCTTTCCCTTTGCAGCTGCCTCCTGGCAGTGGTGGTTGCCACAATCAGGGTCACTATTTCTTTAAGCCTCTTTTAATTTAAGAGAGAGGAAGGGAGAGGGAGAGAGGAAACATCCAGCCGTTGCCTCTGGTACATGACTCAACCGGGGATCGAACCCACAACCTGGGTGTGTGCCCTGACCGGGAATAGAACCTGCCACCTTTCCGTGCACGGGACGGGGCTCCGGCCAGCTGAGCCGCACCGGCCAGGGCCAGCCTCAGCTCTTCTCAAGATGATTGGAAACCGTTTGAGAGGAAGCTAAGATGATCTCAGCGAGTAACACTGCTCTGTGTCTGCAGATGTCCCAGTAGATTAAAGCCAGGATAAGAATGTGCAGGCCAGGAGCAGGCGCTGCTGGTGACGTGTGCGACTGCACGTGGTGGCTAGGGTCCTCCTGAGCGTCGAGGGAGCCGGGAGTCCTGGCTGGGGGTGTGCACTAGACAGTCCCCTGCGGTCCCCGGGGATAGGAAGCTGGCCGTTCACCTCCGCCCATCTTTGTCTCCACTCTCCGAGACCCTCCTTCCTCCCTCCTTTTTTTTTCCGCCTCACTTTGTCCCGGGTCTTCCCCATCCTGCCCTGAATTTTATTTGGTTGCTGTTTTCTCTGCTACCATCCTCTCCGTGTCTCAGCGGCAAATGTAAACCCCAGGCCAGTGGTCAGCAAACTCATTTGTCAACAGAGCCAAATATCAACAGCACAACCATTGAAATTTCTTTTGAGAGCCAGATTTTTTTAAACTTCAACTTCAACTTGTAACACCACTTCTTCAGAATAGACTCGCCCAGGCCGTGGTATTTTGTGGAAGAGCCACACTCAAGGGGCCAAAGAGCCGCCTGTGGCTTGTGAGTCGAAGTTTGCCGACCACGGCCTTTGGCTATCTGAGGAATTCTATTAGCCGGAAGCAGTTCCAGAGTTCATAGAAGCGCTAGGGAAGTTTTCATGTGGCCCCCTATCCAACATTTGAATTGAACTAAGATGTGAATCTCAATAAAAGTAACACAGTTCAGTGTTTGCTGATAATGGCAATCTTTTGGCTTCCCCCCAGAGGATTCTGGGACTATCCTGAGCTTGGTGCTTTGATGATTCAATTTGAACTTTGGACATTCTTTTTTTTTTAATCACAAATCCACTAGGGATGTTTTTAAGTTCTTGATTTTGCTCTACAGCCCTAATTGGCAACAAGCCAACCCTTATGAAATCTAAACATCAGGGGAAAGATAAGAGGCTTTAGTTAAGAGTAACATGGCCCTGAGCTCCAGTGTTGTGTGATTTGGGGGGAAGTTACTTACCCTCCTTGAGCCTGTCTCCTTACCTAATAATGAAGAAAATGGTGTCAACCAAAGAACTACAGCCCCCAGCACAATATCTGATTAAAATAAGAGCTGCCGTTACCATAGCTCCCACCTCTCTCACTTTCGGATAACACGAGACCAATGTGATGAGGTTTCCTGGCCTCTGGAAATGGATGGGGGACTCGGGGTCTCCCGGAGGGGTAGGTGGAGAGAGGGTGAGACGCCTTCCTCCCTGACTCGCTCCGCCCTGCCCCCTGCAGTCCTGTCCAAGAACAGCAAGCCCATCCACACCACCATCCTGAACCCGCACGTCCACGTGATCGGGGAGGACGCCGCCTGCATCGCCTACATCCGCCTCACCCAGTACATCGACGGGCAGGGCCGGCCTCGCACCAGCCAGTCGGAGGAGACCCGGGTCTGGCACCGCCGGGATGGCAAGTGGCTCAATGTCCACTACCACTGCTCAGGGGCCCCTGCCGCACCGCTGCAGTGAGCACAGCCACAGGTGCGCCCCGTGGGGGGCGGGGAGGGGCTGGGGCTGGGGTTCCGGGGGTGGTGGAGAGCTGGCATGGAGGGAGGAGATAGGGGCCACCCCAGAGGAATGGCAAGGGCTGGACAGGGTGGTGGTAACAGGTTGTGCTCTTTTTTTTTTTTTTTAATATATTTTATTGATTTTTTTATAGAGAGGAAGAGAGAGGGATAGAGAGAAACATTGATGAGAGAGAATTATCGATCAGCTGCCTCCTGCACACCCCCGACTGGGGATGTGCCCGCAACCAAGGTTCATGCCTTTGACTGGAATCGAACCTGGGACCTTTCAGTCCACAGGCCGACGCTCTATCCATTGAGCCAAGTCAGTTGAGGCCAGGTTCTGCTCTTAACACCAGACAGACGTGGGTCTAGCTCCAGGGCTCCAGGTCGGGTGACGTTGGACAGGCTATACTTCCCTTTCCCTAAGCCTCGGTTTCCTTAGCTGTCCGAAGAGGGAGAGAGGGGTGCCTGCCCCATAAAGCTGTGAGGATTCAGTAAGAGACTAAAGCACTGAGTCAGGCCTCAGCCTGCGTGAGGCGAGATATTTCAATATCGCCCGGCCTCCACCCGCTCAGGCAGGCGAGGCCGCCGGTGTCGCGCCAAGTTCCCGGAGCTCACCTGTGTGTTTCTTGTCTTCTGTTCTGTTGCTCTGTCTGTCCCTGTGTGACAGGGGCATTAGGAGATCCCAGCTGGAGGTCGAACCTTTGCAGCCAGTGGCTCTGGAGGGCCTGAGTGACAGCGGCAGTCCTGTTCGTTTGAGGTTTAAAACAATTAAATTACAAAGCGGCAGCAGCCAATGCACGCCCCTGCATGCAGCCCTCCCGCCCGCCCTTCGTGTCTGTCTCTGCTGTACTGAGGTGTTTTTTACATTTAAGGGGGAGAGGAAAAAAAGGAAAAAAAAAAAAAGATTGTTTAAAAAAACAAACACATGGAATCCATACCATGATGCGTGTTAAAACCATCCGTTAGCCCTTGGGCTGGCGAGAAGGCAGGAGCCCCGGCAGGAGCAGCGGCTCACGCGCCCGGAAGAGGTGGGCTGGCCTCTGGCCTCCGTGGACTCGGGAGGCCAGGCAAGAACTCGGACAAAAACTTAGGGGGCCGTGACGGGATGGCAGCCCCAGGTCTGGGAACGGACTTCTTCAGAATCCAGAACGAGGCTGGTGAGAACACCGCGGCCACCAGGCCCGCCTGGGAGCGGAGGCACAGCTCCCCGCCGGCTGCGGGCCCGCGGAGACGGCGGCCTCAGGACGAAGGGCCCGGTGCTGCTGCACTTTCCCACGTTAGTGTAAAGGAGGAGAGAGAACTGGTGCTGCAGAAGCGTGGCTGCTCCACGGAGCCGATGGGAGACCTCGTGGTAGCCTGACATGTCCTCACGCCCTCGCCCATGTCTGTAGGATGCACTCAGTGCATGCGGGCCCTGCCGCCGCGAAGGGGGAAGGCTTGCGCTTTGCTTCGTGTTTGTTTTCTCGGAACTCAGCGAGGAGGAGAGAGCCGGGCCCTCGCTGCCGGGGGGCTCCCTTGGCTGCCTCGGGCGGTTCTGTTTCTGTCTTGCCTTTTCATGGTGGTGGCCCCCCGTGCTGACCCTCCTCGGGGCCTGGGCCCTCTGCCAAGCGCCCCCCCCACCCCCCACACCCCCGTGGGATGGGAGGAGTGAGGCGGCGGGATTGAAGGTGATGGTTGTTTTCTATGCACTCGGGCTGCCCTGAGGGCTGCCTGCCTCCCTTCCTACTCTCCCCTCGCTGCACGTCCATCTCTTTTCCTGTCTTTTTTGAGATCGACCCTATGGCTTCGGCAAGAAGAGGTGCCACCTCTCTTAAGAGGTCTCTTGACTGACCAACTGAAGTGTAGACTTCACTGCTGGACAATCTGCATGGGCATCACCCCCACCGACAACAACTGCATGTACCCAAAAGAGGTGTTCAGAGCCAGGACTCCTGCCCACACTCACTGTCCCTCCTGTGCTCCAGGAGCTCCAGTCCAGGAGGGAAAGATCTGTAACTCTAAGCCGATGGAGAAGACAATGGAGGAGCAATTGGTCACGGCATTGGTTTCCCCAAAACAACTGTGCAAACGTGTCTACGCAATTATTTGCACTATTTGGGGGGGGGGGGGAGTGGGTAGACCCCAGCTGCCTGGACTACCTTCAGGAGGCAAAGCTACAGATTGACCTTGGAGCCGGCTGAGAAGAGAGCAAACTCGCAGGTGCTGGTGCTTGGGTTTAGCCAGGCTCCTCTGAGCACCTCATGCATGCCCCAGCCCCTGGGCCCTCGCCCTTTTCTGCCCTGCAGCCTGCAGTACCAGCACGCAGACACCTTCACCACCACAGGGTTTGGTTTTCGCTGGCTTGGAGACAAAACGGTCTTAGAGTTCATTAAGACCCATAGCTTCATGTGGCTGCTCCAGCTCCACTTCTTAGCATTCTTAACTCCTCTCTGGGGCTAATGTCAGCATCTATAGGACTATAGACTATTAAAAAAAAAAAAAAGTCACCTTTTAAACAGGAAATGGAAGGCATTTGATGCAGAATTTTTGCATGATGACATAGAAATAATTTAAAAAATAGCTAGTGTTTGTTCTGAATGTTGGTAGACCCTTCATAGCTTTGTTACAATGAAACCTTGAACTGAAGATATTTAATAAAATAACCTTTAAACCGTTCCGCTGTTGTTACTGCTGCTGGTGGGGGTTGATGGCCAGAGGCTTAGATTTTTAGCAGCCTGGGTGACAAGGTTTCCACTCCCTATTGGGCCCATTTTGGAATAAAACTTCATAAACTCACCCACCTCCATCCAGTTCACCAGGCTGCCCAGGCCAGTTTGGGGGGTTAGGAGGGGGGGATTTGGGCCCTTGAGTGGTGAGCTAGGGCCTCGCCCCGCCCCCGGCCCCGCCCCCGCCTCAGTGGGCCGGCCCGGCCCCCCCTCGCAGGCGGAGTGGACGCGCCCCGGCCCCGCCCACGCCAGGGGGCGCCCCCCCCCGCCCGCCTCAGTGGGCCGGCCCGGCTCCCCCTCCCAGGCGGAGTGGACGCGCCCGCGCCCCGCCCTCCTCGGTGAGCCGAGGCCGGCGCTCCGCCGACTGTGCCAAGCGGCAGGGAGGGGGGTGCCTCTCCGCGGGTGGGGCGCGGGCACGCCGTCCAGGAGGCCGACACTCGGCGGGTCGCCGCAGAGGACCGTTCGGCTGCCCGGCGTCCAACCGCGCTGCTGCCGAGCCCGCAGGCGGCGGGGACCGAGCGGACCCCTCCGGCGCGGCGCGCCACCCCCCCCCCCGGGGAGCGGTGGTTGCGCCCGGCCGCCGCGGAGCGTTCGCTCGGAGATGGCGGAGCCGCCGCGACGCGGCCCGAGGGCCCGAGAGCTGGGGAGCCAGGCGGCCCGGGGACACGGCGGGGCCCGGGGACAGCGGTGACGCCGGCCCGGCCGCCGGGTGAGCTGCCCTTGAGGACGCCCCGCACGGCCGCCCGCACCCCTCCCCTCCCGGGCGGCCCCTGTTCCCTCCAGGACCCCACGGGGTCGTCCGGCGGCCCGCGCCCCGCCCCGGGTGCCCTGCACCCGCCGCCCTCGCAGTGGCCTCGGCCCCTGGGCGCCCCGCACCCGGCTCCTCCCCCGGGGCTCCCCGCCTGGCGCCTGCCCTGCTGCGCCCGCCTCTCCTGGCGCGCCCCCAGCCCCTGCCCCTTCGGCGCCCCATCCACCTGTGACCCCCCTCCCCCAGCAGGGCCCGGTGCCCCCTCCGCCCGGGCGCCCGCAGCCCCAGCGCGGCCCGCACCCCGCCCTCCAGGCCCCGCACCGGCTCTCTCCAGCCCGGGCCCGGGGACCCTTCCGTCTCCCCCGGAACCTCCCACTGCTGCCGCCGCAGCACCGCTCTCGCCCCCGTTCCGCCTTCCACAGGCATCACCCCACCGCACCCTCCCTACCCGCCCAGCAGCTTCCTCATGTTGCTGAACCCTCTGCCTACGCCCTGCTGTTTCTTCCAGGTATGAAGCCAGCATGCAGTGGCCAAGAGCACGGGCTATGGAGCTTGACAGGCCTGACTTTGAGTCCCAGTTCTCCACCGACGGGGCTGTGTGATGCTGGGCAAGTTGCTAAGCTTCTCTGAACCTCCGATTACTTGCATGTAAAATGGGGATAATGGTATCTATCTCTTGCCGACTTCAGGGCTGGTGTGTGTTAACTATATGGAAAGCCCTTGGATGTCTGCCCAAGATTAAGCTCTCAGTGTTAACTATTCTACATAACTCATCCTAAGTATCCACTCCCCGTAATGACGACTTCTTGCTATTTCCTCCAAAGAGTGTCCTCTAATTTTTGGAATTTGCACCTTCCCATCACCTTTTGATTCCCCCTCCCTCCCCCCCCCTTCCCCAGTTCTCTTCATGTCAGCTAGTTTTACCCTGATTAAAGCTGATTATTTTTTTAAAAAAATATATTTTATTGGTTTTTTTACAGAGAGGAAGGGAGAGAGAGAGAGAGCTAGAAACATCGATGAGAGAGAAACATCGTTCAGTTGCCTCCTGCACACCCCCCACTGGGGATGTGCCCGCAACCAAGGTACATGTCCTTGACCGGAATCGAACCCGGTACCTTCCAGTCCGCAGGCAGATGCTCTGTCCACTGAGCCAAACCGGTTTCGGCAAGCTATTCTGACACCATTTCTCTCCGTTCTAAAAGGCTCTGTCTCTGCCTAATCTTTCCTGAGATGTGTCTGTCTGGGGGTGGGTGGAGAGAGGAATTGCCAGCCCCTGGCCTCACGAGGAGTGGTTAAGACGGAGAGAGCAACAATAAAGCTATTAGGAGCAGTCCATCTATTTAAGAAAAAAAATCTCCAAAACTAGGTCTCCTTAAAGCTGTGTGCCAATCACACTGACCTACTCCTTCTCTCTCTTATTGGTTGGATGTGACTTATTTCTCTCTCTCATCCAGGCCCGCTCAGTTTTCTGTTTTTATAGCAGGACTCGATCCCCCATGTCTCCAGCATAGCTGAGGACTTCCTTCTGAGCTGTTCATGGATGAGGACAGAGCACCACCGAGGCTAACTGAGGGAGGAGACCTGGGAGGGACAGGGGAGACTCTGGACTCAGCCTTCCGGTTTTTCCAGTGATGTAGCCCGCTCTGGGGAGAGGCTGAGGAGGAGTAATGGAGAAGGGAGTCCCTTTCTGGTTTTGGAAGCTAATAGAATGGTTATCTAGCACCATTTCTCTTTCTTCTGGAATAGTGTACACCTGACTGTAAGTTTGTTAATGCTGTCAGCCTGTGGTGTAGAGTCTGATTGATGAAGAAGATTAACAGACTCACGAGTTTCCTCTTTATCTACAGTTCGTTGGAGCACGGGACTCCTGGGGCTTCCTGTCCCTTTCTCACAAGACCAGAGCTCCTGCCGGCTGGCCAGCTGCTTGGTCGTGCGCTGGGAACTCCTTTCAGAGCAGGCGACTGTCAGCGTCCTGGGCTGCTTGGCCTCGAATGGACTGCTCCAGCTCTGAGCTTTGCTCAGGTAGGAGCATTTAGCTGGTAGTCTAAGGAGGGAATCAACCTCTGAAGCTAAGGTATGAGACTCAGATTGTGTTGTTCTGTTTGTGTTTTTTTAACAAATCACCCTGTGAGCAGAAGGTAAGAGAGATGGGGTGAAGGGGGTAATGGATTAATGACTGAGTTTCAAGGAGAAAGTAACCATCAGTTTCTCTGTCTTACAGATGGAAGGGCAGAAACCGTGAACTTTGCTGACCTCTGATGTGAGGAGCTCAAGTGGGACCAAGGGTGGAGCCTGGCTAGTTTTGCATCCTGAAGCTATGGGCCAGGGGGCCATGGTGACCTGACCTCAATGGACTCTGTCCAGTTGCTCCCTGTTGCCCCTTCTACCTCCCCTACCCTTCACTAAGAGAACTTGTCTCCACCTCTTCAGGGAGCTGACCCTGAGGGAATCCTTTTCCCCTATTTTCCCATCCTTCCACCCTCCCACGAGAGCCCTAACCTATACAGCTCCTACCTCCCTTCCCTCGAGGTCCCCCCACCCCTCCCTCCCCTTCCCCTCCTCCCCCCGCCATGCTCAAGCTGTGGAAGGTGGCACGCCCAGCTCGACAGCTGGAACTGCATCGCCTCATACTGTTGCTAATCGCTTTCAGTCTGGGCTCCATGGGCTTCCTGGCTTACTACGTATCCACCAGCCCCAAGGCCAAGGAACCCTTGCCCCTGCCCCTGGGAGACTGCAGCAGCGGGGGGGTAGCTGGCCCTGGCCCGGTTCGGCCTCCAATCCCGCCCCGGCCTCCCAGGCCTCCAGAGACAGTTCGAACTGAACCTGTGGTCCTTGTGTTTGTGGAGAGTGCGTACTCACAGCTGGGGCAGGAGATTGTGGCCATCTTGGAGTCCAGCCGTTTTCGTTACAGCACTGAGCTGGCCCCTGGCCGCGGGGACATGCCCGCACTGACTGATCATAGTCGTGGCCGCTTCGTCCTGATCATTTATGAGAACCTGCTCAAGTATGTCAACCTGGACGCCTGGAGCCGGGAACGGCTAGATCGGTACTGTGTGGAGTACGGTGTGGGCATCATTGGCTTTTTCCGAGCCCATGAGCACAGCCTAGTGAGTGCCCAGCTCAAGGGCTTTCCCCTCTTTCTGCACTCGAACCTGGGGCTCCGGGACTACCACGTGAACCCCTCTGCCCCCCTGCTGCATCTCACACGCCCCAGCCGCCTGGAGCCTGGGCCGTTGCCTGGTGATGACTGGACCGTCTTTCAATCCAATCACAGCACCTATGAGCCAGTGCTTCTTGCCAGCCTTCAGTCAGCTGAGCCTCCTGTGCCAGGATCGGTGCCTCGCCGGGCGCGGCTTCCCACTGTGGTACAAGATCTGGGACTTCATGATGGCATCCAGCGGGTGCTCTTTGGCCATGGCCTGTCCTTCTGGCTCCACAAACTTGTTTTTGTTGACGCTGTCGCATACCTCACTGGCAAGCGGCTGTGCCTGGACCTTGATCGCTACATCTTGGTAGACATTGATGACATCTTTGTGGGCAAGGAAGGTACCCGCATGAAGGTGGCTGATGTCGAGGTCAGTCTTTTTCCTCACAAGTTGTCTCTGGGAGACTCCCTTGATTCTGAGCTCGCCATAAGTATCCTCCCTACCCTTTCCAGGTAGGAGGAACGCTACTCATTTGTCTTCCACTGTTTGCTGTCTCCTGATTTCTCCTGTCCCCGCTACTCTTCCCAGGCTCTGTTGACCACCCAGAACAAACTCAGGACCTTAGTCCCCAACTTCACCTTCAACTTGGGCTTCTCGGGCAAGTTCTATCATACTGGTGAGCTTATTCCCTTGCTCCTGCAGCATGTCAGTCTTAGTTTGATCTATTTATTGTCCCACCTTCCTGGGTAGACAAGTTGTAGAAAAGGGGTCCAATTTGGGGCAAGTTTTGGGGTCCGAATGATGTGGGGAGCTAGCGGTGGGTATGAATTCAGGTTAGCAGAGGTGACTGGAGGGCAAGTTGCGGGTGGGCAAGTAGGCAGTCTTAAAGGGGCAGATGTCCCAAGGACGGAAGGTGGTCAGTGTTACGGAACAGAGGAGGGCAGAGGGCTAATGGACTGTTCAGTGGTCAGTGTGTGGTCACAGGGACGGAGGAGGAGGACGCAGGGGATGACATGCTGCTGAAGCACCGCAGAGAGTTCTGGTGGTTCCCGCACATGTGGAGCCACATGCAGCCGCATCTGTTCCACAATCGCTCGGTGCTGGCTGACCAGATGAGGCTCAACAAACAGTTTGCTCTGGTGAGGCCCTTGGGTCTCTTACCCAACTTTTCCCCAGAGATGATGCTTCCTTTTCAACCTCCCCCTCATGGGGTACCCTTTCCCTACCCTTTGCATTTTTCTTTCTGTGTAGGCATCCCCACCCTCTTTCCCCTCTACTCCCCAAACTTCACCAGGTCCTGGTGAGAGTCTATGCCGTTCCCAGGAGCATGGGATTCCCACGGATCTGGGGTATGCTGTGGCCCCCCACCACTCGGGTGTGTACCCCGTCCACTCGCAGCTCTATGAGGCCTGGAAATCTGTGTGGGGCATCCAGGCGACCAGCACTGAGGAGTACCCCCATCTCCGCCCTGCCCGCTACCGCCGTGGCTTCATTCACAACGGCGTCATGGTGAGGGCTCCCAACACAAACCTGCACTCCCACATTCTGACAACCTCCAATCTGCATTGATTTATGTCCTGTTAACTGCCAGTCCAGCTCATCCATATAAAAGTGGGTAGAAGAGTGAAAATTTCTAAAGTACATCACAAGAGCTTTATTGCTGTAACTTCAGGCTGAGGCCTTAGTATTTTATTTACTCACTAGAGGCCTGGTGCATGAAATTCGTGCACAGGGGCGTGCGTCCCTCAGCCCAGCCTGCACCCTCTCCAATCTGGGACCCCTCAAGGGATGTCCCAACTGCCCTCTCACAATCCAGGACTGCTGGCTCCCAACTGCTCACCTGCCTGCTTTCCTGATTGCCCCTAACTACTTCTGCCTGCCAGCCTGATCACCCCCTAACCATTCCCCTGCCAGCCTGATTGATGCTGATCTGCTCCCCTGCCAGCCTGATGGCCCCTAACTGCCCTTCCCTGCAAGCTTGGTCACCCCTAACTGCCTCCCCTACAGGCCTGGTTTCCCCCAACTGCCCTCTCCTGCAGGCCTGGTCCCCCAAAACTGTCCTTCCCTGCAGGCCCAGTTGCCCCCAACTTCCCTTCTCTGCCAGCCTGGTCACCCCTAATTGCCCTCCCCTGTAGGCTTGATCACCCCCAACTGCCCTCCCTTGCAGGCTTGGTCCCTCCCAACTGCCCTCTCCTGTTGGCCATCTTGTGTGTTGGAGTGATGGACAATTTGCATATTACTTTTTTATTAGATAGAGTAGAGGCCTGGTGCATGGGTGGGGGCCAGCTGATTAGCCCTAAAGGGTGTCCTGGATCAGGGTGGGAGTTTTCTTGGGGGATGGGGCAGCCTGGGCGAGGGGCCTGTGGTGGTTTGCAGGTCAGCCATGCCCCCCAGCGACCCAAATGGCCCTGGTATCTGGGATTTATTTATCTTCCATAATTGAAACTTTGTAGCCTTGAGGGGAGGCCAGAGTTGGCCAGAGCAGGCTAGAAGCTTGGCTTCCTCTATTGCCGGGGAAACCCAAGCCTCCTGCTTGCTCCATGGCATAGCCATCTTGGTTGGGTTAATTTGCATACTTGCTCCTGATGGGCTGTTGGGCATGGCTTATGGGCACAGCAGGGATATGGCCAATTTGCATATTTCTCTTATTAGTGTAGATTTTTACCTTTCAAATCTCATCTCTCCCTATTTCTTTTCCTTCCAGGTGCTGCCACGGCAGACATGTGGCCTCTTCACTCACACAATCTTCTATAATGAGTATCCTGGAGGCTCTCGTGAACTAGACCGGAGCATCCGAGGCGGAGAGCTCTTTCTGACAGTACTGCTTAATCCGGTAGGGTGCTAAAGGAAGGGCTGGGAGATCGGAGAGTCAAAGTGTTTGCAGGCTTGGACCTTTGCTCACCAAGCCTGATTCTGAGGTGGGTGTAGGCTCTCTGACTCTGATGTGCAGGCATCTCCTTGCAGATCAGCATATTTATGACCCATCTATCCAACTATGGAAATGACCGACTGGGCCTGTACACTTTTGAGAGCCTGGTGCGCTTTCTCCAGTGCTGGACCCGGCTGCGCCTGCAGACCCTTCCTCCCGTCCCTCTTGCACAAAAGTACTTTGAACTCTTCCCTCAAGAGCGAAGTCCCCTTTGGCAGGTATGGGGTGGAACTCAGGCTGACCAGAGACATGATGGGGATGGGGGTTGAAGATTAGGCCTCAACTGATTTCTGGCCTCACCTTCAGAATCCCTGTGACGACAAGAGGCACAAAGATATCTGGTCCAAGGAGAAAACCTGTGATCGGCTCCCCAAGTTCCTCATTGTGGGACCCCAGAAGACAGGCGAGTCATCCTTACCAATTTGGAACTCCCTTCTCATACCAGTCCCCCATTAATCCAGTCTCGAGACAGTGATTATTAACCCCAGTTGTATATCAGAATTATCTACGGAGTTTTGTTTTGAAAGATCAAAGTGATTCTGATGCAGTCAAGACTGAGCACCACTCTTTTAACCCTTCCCTGGGCCTCTCAGATGTTCCCTCTCTCGTTCTAATTTGGCTAAAGGGGATTTTATTACCCGGAGTGGTTATTTTCTCACCTTCTTCAAGCTCCTCTTGTTGAGCTAACTTCTCTCCCATGACGGCCTGGACTCTCTCCTGTGTAGGGACCACAGCTGTCCACTTCTTCCTGAGCCTGCACCCAGCTGTGACCAGCAGCTTCCCCAGCCCCAGCACCTTTGAGGAGATTCAGTTCTTCAGTGGCCCTAATTACCACAAGGGCATTGACTGGTGAGAGTGGGACCCCTTGGAATACTTCTCAGAGGAACACTCCCTTCCCCCCAAATACCGTTTCAGCTTCCACTGCACAGACATCTGGCTTTTCATTCTGCCTCTTTCTCCGCTACTTCCTAGGTACATGGACTTCTTCCCTGTCCCTTCCAATGCTAGCACTGACTTCCTGTTTGAAAAAAGTGCCACCTACTTTGACTCAGAAGTTGTACCACGGCGGGGGGCCGCCCTCCTCCCACGAGCCAAGATCATCACTGTGCTCACCAACCCTGCTGACAGGGCCTACTCCTGGTACCAGGTGAGCCTGAAGCTAGGCACGCAGTAGGTTTGAGGATGGAGTTGTGGTGACTGCTAGAGACAGAAAGGGATAAGGGTAAGGAAATTAAAACTAGTGCCTTGTGTGTGGGGGGGTAGGGGGGGTGCCGATGCTGTCTGTTCCCCAGGCCAAGAGTAGGGCAGAATAATTGTCAAATCGTCAATCCCTTCTCTGCCTATTCCTGTCCTTCAGCACCAGCGAGCACATGGAGACCCAGCCGCCCTGAACTATACCTTCTACCAGGTGATTTCAGCCTCCGCCCAGGCCCCTCTGGCTCTTCGCTCCTTGCAAAACCGCTGTCTTGTCCCTGGCTACTATTCTACCCACCTACAGCGCTGGCTGACTTACTACCCCTCCGGACAGGTACAGTCCCCCAATAGACCTCATTGGGCGCGCCCCCTCCCCTTTTCCCTTTAGCCCAGAGACTTCTAAGAAATACAGCAGTGACCACATCTCTGTCCCTAGTTGCTGATTATGGATGGAGAAGAGCTGCGTACCAACCCGGCTGCTTCAATGGAAAACATCCAAAAGTTCCTGGGTGTCACCCCCTTTCGGAACTACACACAGATCCTCAGGTGGGAGACCATGGTCCGGGAGAGTACTGTGGAGATGGGGAAGCAGGTTGGCCGTGTCTGTTTGGAAGAGACATGAATTTACCCTGTCTCTCAAGGAGACGTGTGTCCCTGTGGGCAGGGAGAGGTAGTTTAAATTTATGGGGCTTGGATTTCTTTTTTCTCCTGCCCACTAATGGCCTCTTCCTGTTGAGCAGGTTTGATGAAGGTAAGGGATTCTGGTGCCAGGGACTTGAAGGTGGGAAGACTCGCTGTCTAGGCAAGAGCAAAGGTCGGAAGTACCCAGATATGGACGCTGAAGTAAGTGAATTCTGGGACGGGTTTTCCCTCTGCACCACTAAGATCGGATTCTATGTCCTTACTGTTCATGCCTCCATTTTCCTCCCCAGTCCCGCCTTTTCCTTACGGATTTCTTTCGGAACCACAATTTGGAGCTGTCGAAGCTCCTGAGCCGGCTTGGACAGCCAGTACCCTCATGGCTCCGGGAAGAACTGCAGCATTCCAGTCTGGGTTAACGTCACAGCCTCTGTACCAGCAAAACAGCCCGTTCCCTAAGGGGCAAGCCCAGAGAAGGGCCCATGCGGGGATTTGAGTTGCCTGGCCCTTCCCCTTCTACCTCAGTGGCCCCCACTCCTGGGATGGCTGAGAAAGGAAGGGCAGCCCTTTCCCATAGTCCCACATTATGGTACTAGTTCCTTTGACCCGTGATCCTAGAAGGTAAGGAACTAGAGGCAGGGTAGAAAGGAATGTTTTAATCAAGAGATTACCCTTGTCATCCCCCAGGATAGCTGTACGTGGCTATGGGAGGGACCCCCTTACTGTGGGATTAGTGGGATCTGCCTGTGGCCCGGCCTCCCTGATGTCATTCACATTGAATGGGGATGAGGTCTGACAGTGGCTCATAGAGCCGAGTATGAGCCCTAGCTGTGGGCTAGAAATGTCCTTAATAAACATCCTTATTTTTCTCTTTTGTCTACCGCACTTGAGTGGGAGAAACCTAGAATAAAAAGCAAGTATCAGACTTTTCCCCACTACAGTTCAAGGTTCGTCTGCTAATCAAGAGAAAGAAGAGAAAGGCCCAGGCAGACTAGAGTAAAAAAGGAGTTTATATATTTATAAATGCCAAATAAATACCGGAGGCCACCCAATGCCCCCTCCCAGACTGGGCTGTTTCCCCCAACCCTAGGCTTCTAGGGTCTGAGACATCTTGGCCCCAAGCTATAGCCCAAGAGCAGCTGCCAGTCTGAGCTACGAGGGAACTGGGTGGGGATGATCTGTCCAGCCAAGATTCACTGCCCCTGTCTGAGGGGCCTCCGTAGCCACAGGCTTGTCTCCCTGTGTAGGGCCCCAGGTTGGCCAGACTCAGGGGGAGAAGGTGGTCATCTCGAGGGAGACCCGCTGCCACAGCTCCTTGGTCTGCTTGCTGCGCTTGAGGTTCTGCAGGATGTCGTTGAACTGCATCATGCCCATGGGGGTCAGGCAGAAGGCGCTGCGGGCACTGCGGATCGCGTTCACAAAGTCGTCGTAGTCGGCAGGGGTCAGGTGAATCAGGCGGTGGTGGATGTACTGGAAGGGGGTGTGGAGAAGGAGCCGCTAAGCACAGAACCCGGCCCCCTCTGCCCTTAACATGCCGGGCGATCTGTTCATGCCTGCCCAGGAGGAGTTCCACCCCGCTCCACGCTCCCTGGGTTGTCACCTGCATGTATGCCTGCTGGCAGCGCTGCACCAGTTGGTGGAAGGCCGGGGCACGCAGGTGGTTGTGGGCATGAGCGGGGCTCAGCCGCTGCAGCGTCTCCATGACGATCTCCTGCAGCACAAACGGGCTCAGCACCCCCTTGGCTGCCCCCACACAGAACTGGTGCACGTAGTTCACTCCTGGGGGGCAGGGGGAGGGGCGTGAGATGGGGGTGGCCACCTTTGCCCTAGGGACCGACCCAACTTATCTCAGCTCTGGCCTGGCAGAGAGCCTCCCCCGACCCAGGAGCTGAGGTCCCTCCCGCCCCCGCGCACGCACACATACCCGACCAAGGCCTCAACTCTGAGCAAGAGCTAGGAAGGAGGTCTGGGGCAGGAAGGTGGGGAAGCAGGTGGGGCGGACAAAGGTCCTGGGGAGGGGAGGTGTTACCCAGCTTTGCTGCCAGCCCCAGCAACCATTTGACATCGTCAGTGTAGGGGGGGGAGCGGGAGAAGTTGTTAGGGTGATCGTTGTGTGCCCGGCGGCCCAGCATCTCCAGCGCTAGCATTCCTGGGAGGAGAGAGTGGCACATGGTGGGGTTGCATCTTCGCCCTCTACCCCAGGCTGGTACCTGACCCCGCAGTAAACTAAGAGGCATAGGGAGGGGTTGTCACTGAACAGCCCCTGGCACGTGGGTACGGAAGGGACCGCCTCTCACCAACACGGTAGGCCGCATGCAGGTGGTGTAGGCTGTGCGGGTTGACGGGCTGGCTGTGCGTCTCCTCCTCGGGCGGTGGAAAGCCCCCGCTCACCAGAGGGCTGGGCTGTGTGGTCAGGGCAGGCAGTGAGGCCCCCTGGATGGCTGGAAACGTGGATGCTGGATGGACACTGCTCACTGAGGGATGAGAGCCATGTGAGAAACAGCCCCAAGAGGGGCAGAGGAAATTCCCTCCCTCCTGCCCCTGCCCAGCGTACCTCCCCTCCATTCACCTGTTCCCTGTCCCCACAACTCACAGGCCACACTGGTGGGCAGTGGGAGCCCTGGCTCTGTGTGATAGGGATGTACTGTGATGGGTGCCATGGAAGGGACGGGGAAAGACACAGCAGTGGCAGCAAGTGAGGGGGGAGTCACCGAGTAAGGGTACTGAGCCCCCAGGAATGCAGGATGCACACCCTAGAGGCAGAAAGAAAAGAAAAAGATAACCAAATTATGTTAATATGTAGCTTTTCCCCCTTCATCCCACAACTGGGCATCCCTACGTTTCTTTCCTTAGTTGGGCTGGGTCCCCCGGACTCCCACCCATCCCCTCACTGAGGGCTCTTGGACAGCTCCATTTTCCCAGAGTACCCCATGCCAACCCCGCAGGAAGCCCTTATATTCTCCCACATGCCCAACCCCTCCCGTCCCTACCCCGTCCCCCGAGAACACTGGTCTCACCTGTGGGTATGCAGAGCTGGGCACAGGGAAGACGGCAGGCCGGGGCATATGAGGCATGGGGTGGGCGGGGTGAGCTGGGTGGGTGAGGTATTGAGGGCTGCAGGGCAGGTGGGGCTGTAGAGCAGTGTAGGGGTGCAGGCCAGGGGAATGACCATGCCCCAGTCCTGGACCTGGATATAAACTGGACCCCACTGAGATGACTGGCACCACTGTGGCTGCTGCTGTCACTGCTGCTGCCGCCACTGTAACCGGCTCAGTCCCTGGGCCCCCCCTGCCCTCGGGCAGCCCCCGCCCAGCCTCCCCAGCTGCCCTGATCCCACTGGCACTACAGCTTGTAGCCCCTTCACGGGCTGTGGATGAGCCACCTGCTGTTTGCTCATATAGCCAGAACCACTGGTGAGCAACCTCAAACAACACTTCGGGGTACACGCCCCCACCCTTAGCCGCCTCTTCCACCGCCATGCAGGCTTTCTCCAGCATCAGGTTATCCTGGAAGGGAGGGGCACAAAAGGTCAAGGGGGAAGGGCTTTACTTGGGGATAACATTCCATCTCCCCCAGAGCTGGCTGGTTCCCAGGGAAGCATTAGAGGTCAGGGTCACTGCTCAGAGTCTGTCAGAGCAGTGAAATCTTCACAAAGACACTGAACAAATATTTGTTGACCCGTAGAAGTCAAAACCCAGGTTATAGTCCCAGCTCCAAACTAATTTAGCCACTCCATTCCCTCCAAGCCCCTTCGTGTCCCCAAGGCCTTCTCTTAAGTGATCATCTTAGTACGTAAACTATAAGCCTCTAGGTCCTTATTTGTAAAACGGGAACAATCCTAACCTCAGAGATGTACGGTGGAAGAAGTGACGGCAGTGAAAGAACATCAGTATGTTGTGTCACCAGGAGAGGACAAACTGGAATGTTTGAATTCCAGAACATGGACTATAATCTCTCCCCATGCCCACACTCCCTGCCCAGATGCCCCCAAAGCAGGTCCCCACAGAGCCCACAGAAATACCTGCTCCTTGCACTGCACCAGGGCCCTCTGGATCTCATTGGGGTTCAACGCATGGGCATGAGGCAGGCAGCTCAGGGCTAGCTCCGCAGCTGCCCTCACCATATTGGAGTCTCGTGCCCGTGAGGCCCTGTCAGCCAGGGATGCAACCTCAGGAGGCGTCAGGTGCCCATCCCAACATTCTACCAGTATAGTCAGGGCGGCACTGCCAATCTCCATCGCCTGGCCTTGGGGGAAGGACAAAAGGCAAAGCATGAGCACCACTGGGAAGTGGGCATGGTGTGTCTATCACCATTCATCACTAGCTCCGAAAGGATAAGGCTCTTCTCTCCATCAATTCATCCCCTTCCCATGCCCAAGTCAAAACACTGGTTTACCTGTAATCCAGGAAACGTGGGAAGAATAGGTACGCGAGAGCCAGTTGGGAGAAACAAAGTTGTGCAGGCCAAGGGCATAAAGCCCAATCTCAAAGGCGCAGAGGTGCAGGTTACGGTGAGGACCCTGGTGGCCCCCCGAGGAAGATGGGTGTGTGAAAATGGAAGTGCTGCTGTTGCCCCCTGCCTTGATCAGCACCGTCTTCGCCAGCTCGAAGTAGAAGTGTGCGGCTGCCTCTGACGGCTGATTGGGCACATGGGGGGCATGGCTCTCAGGACGGCGGCCCTTGTACCTGAAGGGGCAATGCGGTAGGGATAGGGGTTGGGCTTTCTCTGAAGTGAGTGCCCAGGTAGGTTGGGAAAGACCAGGGTAAGGACACTGGGGGACAATATCTGGATTAAACTAGGAATGTGGCTCTGAGGATGAGCCAGGTCAAAGAGAGGCATTTCTTCCCACTGACCTGCCGACTTCAACGGTCTTTGCCCGGGCCCCTCCGCTGGCGCTGGCCCGGCGACTTCCACTGGAAGACGAGGAGCCCAGGGAATCTGAGGAAGAGCTGCTAATGCTGTCACTGTCCTGTCCTCTACCCCAAGAGGTGGGGGCCCAGCCCCCGCGAAGTGGCCTCCGGCTTAAGGTAGGGGAGCTATCCGATGTTGTTTCAGGGGCACTGCTGTCAATGCTGGCCATGCCTAACCCCCAAAAAGACAAGTCAGTCCAGGAACCCCGAAGTCAGACTCCAGGAATAGCCTTCCCGCCACGCCACCCACGGCGTCGTACCTGTGTGCTTCTTCTTGGGCCGCCCGGGGGAGCCCCAGCCGCGGCCATTGTAGCCTCCACGACTGCCAAGCGCCAAGCGGCTGGGAACCTTTCCTTCCGGCCTCGAGGTCAAAGCTGCCTCAGAGGGGAGACTCTCGCAGGGAGAATGGGGGGAACTCTCTGGGTGGGAAAAACAGGGCATTGGGATTAACCCAGGAAAGGGGACCCCAACATGATTCCCTACCATTCATCTCCCTGCCCAGTGCCCCC